AAAGCAGATTCAACCGCAATGATGGAGTGTGGAAGGATATCCAAAAGGTGTAAGTAGGAGTATTATAAAAACTAATCAATAGGAAACCTGGCCCTTATAAAACATGCGTGCCGTTTCTTTATATGACCAACATCATGCACAACCTCACTCAAACAAAATCGATGCACACAATCATCCGGTCGAGCATGTAAGATGATAAAAGATGAACTCAAAATTTGAGATTTAAACAAAGAGCATCCCTTTCAGCATTTTGAGTACCTGGGAAAGATGCTTTCCTTCCCAGCTCATTGACAGTCACACACCAACGTCAGGCCTAGACATTTATGTCCAATCGGAGTACCTATGGGCGCGGCTACAGTGCTGCCTTATGCAGATGACTCAGATCTACAGAACGATGCCGGGTACTACTAGATATAACCACGATTCATCGATAGCACCTTCATCACCACGGCAGCAGTTCTGATGAAATCACAGCCTCTACATCTTGAGTCTATTCCACGAAGAGAGTAACACAGTATTCATTTAACGGTGGGGCGTAAATTTAGAATCTCATTGTTATCGAAAGACCCTCGATGTAGAGAAGCACCTCAAGCGGGATATTGAAACATGTCAGGCTAGACTTGTGACTAATTCGAACGCAGATTGTAGAGTGCGGCAATCAGGGTTCACAAGGGATTTCCCACCGGGGCCAGAAGGTCACTATCATCAGACCCCCCCGGCTATGGTCTGATCCGCCTGGACCACACCCTAGATAGCCCTATTATGGATACGTTGCTGCCGTGAGAAGTAGCCAACAATTAGAATATTTTAATACAGATGATGAGAGATATTATTGCTGAATCCGTAAAGAATATATTCGATCAAAAATAGAATGAATTACATGTCTAAATCTCTGATCCTTCAGGATGTCTATACGGCGGTACCTCGATATAGTCCGCCGTCTAGGGCACAGTCACGATCTCGGGCGGTGATTGGCCCGTTTAAAAGATCCTCGGATCAGCCACGCAGATTATTCGATCAGCCGAGGCACAAGAGGAAGAATCTACATCTCGCTGGGTCATTGCACAACCCGCCGCCAAGCATCAGGCGATTTTATCATGTAATTACCTTCAGTCGGAATAAATCTCCTTGAGGATTCCAACTAGATGATCATCTCCTTATAAAAGGAACCCCCTGGAAATATAATCAACCCTACTGCCGTCCGAAGCACCGAGCAGAACCGTAAGCATGGCCGATTACTTGCTGTCTCAAACGCTCTCGGCGCGCTATTACCAGCCCGATCGGTTCCCGCACATATCGGAGGCAATCGGTGCAGAGCCGGGATCGGACCATGGTCAGATTCTTGACAAGAGCTCACCCGAGCCCTCATCGGCGAACCGAGTGAGGAAACGCGGTAGACCGAGAAAAGCTTCTGGCAATACCTCTCCTAGTGTATAGTTGTTGCTCTGTGGCAAATTATTCTTTTAGGCAATGGCTAATACTAGAGTAGGACCGTCGGGCTCAGATCCGGGCTGCACAAAGGACTTACCGACTGAAGAAGGAAGCCATGTTTCAGGACATGAAAACACGCGTTTCGGAGCTTGAAGAAAGCATGGCCAGGATATCTCAATCGCTATCCACATTCTACCGCATGGCCGTTCAGTCTGATCTCAATCTCACTCATCCTTATCTCTTCCAGCAACTCAACTGCACCGTCTCACAGGTAAAACGTGAAGGTAAATCATCAACTGAGAGCTCATTATCTGCTGCGGGGCTTCATCATATAGAATTCGCCGCTCTATCATCCGCAAAGGCAGCTAACGATGCATCCACCTTTGGATACACGATGAATATGAACCCCGGGGGTAGTGGAATGTTCTACAAGCCACCAGGAAGTGACCGCATTAGAGTATCACCTTCTGTCCGATATGCGAATCGCTCATATTTGGGAAATCTCCCGAGAGACATCGAAAGACCATTGAACGGCAGTGGTACTTTCACATACAGCTATAACGAATCGACATTCGCTCGTCGACTCCACCGATCCTGCATAGAGTACGCCTACCAATTGTTCACCGATCCGCGAACGGACCCCCAGGACATCTATCGTGTCTTCCGTCTGGTGAGCTGCCTGCGTCAAGAGGATAAAATGGCCCGCTGTCTTGCTACCCTCCTCAGTGCAGGCCCAAAGGAGCCTTTGGAAAGACCGAAAGTGCCTTTCTACTGCATTGGCGGTGCCGGCACGCATTACCCACAGGTGCAACCTGATGGAAAACCTTTGTATCCCGAGAATATGAGACTTCCGGGCCGAGTGCTGGGCTCGATTCCGGGCAGCGCGCCGGAGATGGACAATAAGCCGTCAGCGGAGAAGAGACAGGAGCTTCTTAAGATATACGGGTTAGATGGTACTTGGCTTGATTGCCGTGATGTCCAAGACTATCTCGAAGAAAAGGGCTTCTGTCTTGATGATTCACCGTGTGTCTTCGCCACTCCTACGTCGGGAAATCAGGAGAATGCTCCAAAGACTGCGCTGAATCAATCAAAGGACATTCCTATGGACTTAGATGATCGTCCCGAGCTCAAATCGCCGTCTCTGCACAATTCTGATAAAACAGCCAGCGCAACAGGACAAGCGACCTGGGTCCTTAACATTGACGGATTTGTTCAGGGTAAGTGCTCTGAATAATAATATCCCAACCTTGAGATGCTAATATAGACTAGCGCTTTTGAAGAAGATGGTTATTCTGGGACGAGCCCCCGGCTTCCGACTGACTGACGTCGAGGCAGCCTTCAAATCAGCAGCGAATGTATCGTCTAGCTAAGCTTCCTACCTTGCGATCTACAGGCCTGGGATTCTCAGGGAATGATTGTTCAGTTTTGGTGTTCTTTTCTCCCGCCCCTATCTTTTACCAGTGATTTGCACGTGTCTGGGGATGGGCTTTCTTATCAACACCCGTGATAACAGGGAGAAAATCTCCAGTGCCTGAGGAAGAAACCCTTCTTAATCATAGTGCTAATTCTATTTTACGGCATCATGTATGAATGATTGAATGAGGAAATGAACGACGGAGTTTACAGGCATAGGTTCCCAGAATGAAACTGTGTTCTTGCTTTACAGTGCCAATGGCCCCTCTGACTACCAAATTGTTTGGGAGCAAGCTATATTGGCAGCAACCCGTTGCTTATATCAAGGACAAGAGCTGACAGGTAAGATCAGTTCGTCTTTCAGTAATGCATGGCCTGGATGAGGAATAATCGTTCACTAGGGTATGGAAGTAAGGTGACCCGTCGACACGGACAACCATTGGCCGACCGACCTGCGGACGATGATGCAATGCCGCATTACCAATGCGGCATTCGGACTTAACGTCACCGAACACCGACCTGTCATTCTCGCCGTTCTTCTATTTAAACGCAGCTCTATTACTGCAGTCATCACCGGGAAGAATTACTCAGAGTTTACTCGGATTGTTGTACTCCTCGCATCTGTACCTCCACTTCAGACTCTAGAGATCTCAGACGCCATGGTGGGCATCAACGAAGTCCGCAAATCCAATGCCGCTCTCCACGCCCGCGATGGAGACTTCGTCGCGGTTTTCGTGGGAGGAACCAGTGGAATCGGAGAAGCAACAGCCAAGGAGCTAGCCAAGGCGATCAAAAAGCCGACAATCCACCTCGTGGGACGGAATCAAGCCGCCGGATCCAAGATACTAGAGGAACTCAAATCAGCCAATCCCGACGGGACCTTCCACTTCATTCAATCGGACGTTTCACTTCTCCATAACGTAGACGAAGTGTGCTCGGAAATCAAGCAGAAAGAAAAGGCGATTGATCTACTATTCCTCTCGACGGGACATCTTGCGACCTCGAAGCAAAGCAAGTAGAACCACACATCCCGTCATCTGAGTACCAGGCACTGACTGTGAAGCAGACACAACTGAAGGCCTGGAGAACAACCATGTCCTCCGCTATTACTCTCGTATGCGCTTCGTCCACAACCTCGTCCCGCTACTTGGCGCATCCAACGGCCCAGCCCGCGTCGTGAGCGTGCTAGCCGCCGGCCAGGAAGGCAAAATTGAAGAAGATAACTTCGATTTACAGAAGTTTTGGTCCTTCATGAAATCCAACACGTATGCCGCGACTATGAATTCCCTCGCTGTAGAGCACCTGGCCACACTGTACCCGTCCATCAGCTTCGTTCATGTATTCCCCGGCATCGTCCGCACACCTCTCATGAACAAGACCATCGGCTGGATCGCGGGCCCAATCGTTACCTTCCTATCGCGTCCGATGTCGATTTCCCCGCAGGAGAGTGGTGAGCGGCACTTGTTCATCTCGACTTCCGCGGCTTACCCGCCCGCGACGCCTCAGGATCCGGCCAATGCAGGCATGCCGCTTGTGGAGGGGGTGAAGACCAGCGTAGCCTCGACTGGGAAAATCGGCGGAGGATCGTATATCCTCAACTACGACGGGGCCAATGTAGCAAAGGAGAAACTCATGAGCGGATATCGGGCGGAGGATCTCCCAAAGAAGCTCTGGGCTCATACTCTGGAGACGTTCAAGAAGGTGTTTGATCCGGCGCAGTAAACGTTCATATTCATAGTTCAATACTTACGTACTTAATGTTTTGTCTGCCAGACTATCCAGAAAACTTTAGGGAATACAATTAGCCACTAAGTCCCTGTAGATAGCATCCAACCCTTCCTGCCCACAATCAACACTACACAGTATATTCTGCTGAGACCTAAATACGCCTGCCAAGAGGATCGACATATCGCCTCCCCATGGAACTGAGCGGTCCTCTGCCCAGGTGGAGTAGTATGATGTCATTTCCCATAACCAGTGGAAGCTGCATCTTTCTGGAACACTGCCGCATTTGTACACATATAGCTCAACAGCCCCCAGTTTCCTTGAAAATATGCAAGCCTCTACATAATCCCTCCTAAACCAAATCCATCTAAAACCCCCCAAGATAATAAAGTCCCTCTAAATCTACATACCAAAATACAGACCCAAATAAAATGGGCTGGAACCTAGACTACAGCGCTATAACCCCAGGCCCAGGGGGCACGGTCATGCTGGGCGAGAAAGGCGGTGCTGAAGCCGTCGCGCGCCGGGCGAAAGAGCGTCGAGCCCGAGAACGGGAGCTCGCCTTGCAGAAAGGCAGATTAACGGATGATACCATGTAGGAGACGACGCTTGTTCCTCAATCACAGTCCATCGGCAGTGGTGTAAAACCGGGGTCTATCGGCCACGAAAGGGCGCCGGATGGTGGGCAAATGGTGAAGGCCGTAACTGAGGGTGGTACTCCGGAGATTAGTGGTGAGAAGAAGAGCGGGTTTCGGGCGAGGTGGAGGGAGTTTAGGGAGAGGAATTTGCCGTGAGGGTTGGCTTTTGTTGGCTTGGTTTGGACTTTTTTTCTTGTTTGTTGATTTAATTGTTCTTTGTTTATTGTGTTGGTTTGGCGTTTTGTTTTGGATGTTATTGCTTGGTATATTGCTGGTATGGCATTATGCTATGGAATTATGCTCTTTGATGACGGAGGAATCCAGATGAATTAGGAGGGTTCAGGATCGATAGGAGAATACCAAAACAGGTTACCGGTACTCGCTCGGGCAAGTATAAGAAGGAAGTCGGATTGAGTCGATATCAAGGTATGAACCTGACAGTGAGCCAATTAATCCGGAAAGCAACGCAAACACCAGCTTGAAAGTGTATGTCTACAAAGCTGAGAATGTTAGACAGCTTGGAACTCCCTTGCCCATTGTGACACTAACAAAGCCAGCAGATCAAATATGGATGTTTCCACTTATTAACAAAGAAGCACTTTAATAGGCGACAGTATAACCCGTCAATATGGAAAAGTTCCATTCGGCTTTTTGTCTTGAACATGGACTGTTCCCGATAACCCCATTGTAGGGTGTGCATATACTACATATGCCAGATGAAAACTGCCTCGATAGCCAATGGCTATAAATGGGGATAACTGTCGCTTTGTTCATTCACATCTTTTTCTTCTCTATCACTTCATATTGACTTCTTTGTTGGTCATCTCCTTGTACTGCATATCAAAGACAGCGATCGCATTACTTTTCAAGACCAATGCTAACTACAGACAGTCATGGCGTATTCACAACGACCATTGTTCGCATGCTGTGAGAATTCGATCCCATCCGACCCCATGCTGGCAGAAAGATTGTGGGCAATACAATATCTCGATAAGTGGTTTTCAATCATCGCTACAGAAAAGATTCAGAGTTTAACAGCGGATCCCAATATACTACGGTGGGAAACTGTATACCAGCTGTGTATCAATTCCAGTAAGGAGGAGGTACTACGACTCCTGAGATTAGGGCTCTTATATTCCGTGCCCTGGGATCCCAGAAATCTATTTCATGCCGCTGTCAGGAGACAAGATAGCGACCCCGAGATAATAGACCACCTGCTGGCCAATCTACCCCAGGATCAATATTTTCTGGCTTTTCAACCAGACGATACTGGACTAACGCCTCTACAATTCGTCTTAAGCAAGCCCTACTTCGGTGCAAGGGAGGAGAGGCTATTGATGTGGGCTCTCCATTTAAGGAGGCATTGGTGGGATATGATGGACTACAATACAACGCTCGCTATTGCTGCGCGAAATGGGAATATTGATGCCGTCAAACTTCTCCGCGACAATTTGCTTTATGGGCGGTACGGTATGAACATAGATCCACTAATCAGGGCTTTTGAATACCCGGGAGAACAGATTGGCAATACCGCACAATGTGCAAATGGATGTGACATACTCAGACTGCTTGCCTTGTATGGATGCACGTGTAGTGGGCTTGGACGGGAAAGTGGGATACGCCATTGAGGAGCAAGTCATTGGTCTTTCAAATACATGTAGCTACATAAGTGTGCTTACTGTTTGACTCGGTTCTATGGATATAGATACCATACTTCACATATACACAACATGCTTCAGACCCTACAGCTATTGGGTGAGTACCTGGTTCATGCCTACTCATGTTTTCTTGTATATCCATCTATATCTAACCGTCAAACAGCGATAAAGGTTATAGCTGATGTACAATGTTGGGTGTGTGGTGATTCGTTATGCTCTCCGAAGGTCAATGAAACATGGCAATTCCCATTTTACAGTTATGATGCCAGAAGGGTGGATCAATTACCCCATTTCTTAGCATATGGTAAGTTGACATGAGAGAAAATGTGGATCTAGCTGCGACGGTGACCATATTGGCATTGTATTGTTCATAGGTTGAATATATCAGAAAACTCGAGTAATAGAACATCTTATGTCTTATTACTTTGTCTACTATAGTCTCTCCCACCGCAAAGCAGCCATGGAGCCGCCTAGGGCCTCTGACTGAAATCATACGAGTTTCCAAACCCCCTATTCAAATACCGCGACATGGCCTCCGACTCCGTGACCCAGTTGACAGGAGTCTCAAGGCCCGTCTCATTCTCCACCAGGGGCTTCAAATCCTCCGCAAATTCCAACCTCATGGGGTTTCGATACCACGGAGCGAAATGAACTGCGATCATTAGCCACGACGGCTCTTTAATGGGAATCTGAGACATACTCATTGCCAACATAACCCTAACCTCATCGGTTTGATTTCCTATTCCCGCATGCCATAGCCTCAAGTCCCTCAGGACCAGTGCGCCCTTAGGAACAACAGGCTGACACGGCGGTCGGATCATTCTTCGCTTTTCCAGGGCATCCAGTTGAATTCGCCCGCTTGCTCGCTCACCGTGCATTCCTTCCTGGATGTGTAGTCCTGAGTCGGTATGTGTTCCCAGCCATATCTCTGTGGACCCATTTTCGGGGGTCATAGTAATCAGTGGGATGTTTATGACGTACGCGAACGGGTGCGTGGGGTGGGCGAAATCCGCGTCAGAATGGACTGGCTGAGACATGGGCGGGTTTTCAGCTGTAGGTGGCATAGCTGAGTTTCCAGAGCAGAAGGTCCATTTTGGACGGGGCCCTAGCGCCGTTGAGGTTATTTGGGTTGCAATGGGATCTGGGCCTTTATTAGTATGTATTATTATACATTGAGTCGGCGTCAGACACATACTGAGGAAGATATCAGAGTCAAAGTATTTCCGTACGGGGGGAGGATCCTGCTGGATATTCCCGGGATTGTAGTTAAAGGGACTGTTTTCCTTATTCCGCAGTGTCCATGCATCCTCGACCATTTTGTGGTTTAGTCGGTCCAGGGCATCGTGGGGCACGACGTTCTCCACTACGACTAGGCCGTCGTGGTGGAGACTTCGGATTGCGATCTCCAAATTCTGCGGAGAAAGTTGGCGGTTCATGATTTCTGTCTGTGAGGGGGAGATGCTAGTTGGGAAACTTGACATGTTTCGATGTTGCGTGCAGAACCTCGCAGGCTTGCACAGTCTAGCGACGGTGGTGATGTGTTGCATGTTCGTATGAGGAAAGGACAAGTATGGAGTGTTATCAATTAAATATGGTCTATTTCATGTCTGAGTAGATATGTACAGAGGAATATGCTCTCCTTGCATCTTCAGGGTTAGGGGGGTTTTATAGTCCTGTCTGCCATGATGTCTCCATGTATTGTCGACGATCAACGTTCGGCTTTCGCACTTCGCATTTCGTTTTTGAGTGGGGTCTGGAGTGCCGTGTGTATTGTACAATTGTGCGTGGGCTTATTTCGCATTTGGACTGTCGGCCTATTAACACAGTGGTTATAAAGGTTTCGTGGCAATAAAAAGATCCACTTGGTGACGCATTTAGCGATGGCTTGCATTCCGGCGAGGATTCGAGGATAATGCGAGCTCCAGCTAGCTCGCTACTCCACCATGCCCCGACCCTTTCTAACAAACAGTAGGTCTAGCCCATTCTCTCAGGGCTGCTTCAGTACGCTAATGCAATGTCACAATTTCTCCATTGTTAGGATGGTACACTAGACCCCACTTGTATTCAATCTGGCTCTGATAAAGCTTTCGATTAACATAAGATAGTCAGCAATGCAGATCCAGAAAGATTAAATGTGAGCCCGGCGAGTCAGCTCCATTGGATCTATGGACTAAGTTTCATAACAGGTGATGGACATCGACCTGTGTGTCTTCGCTGCCAAAAAGCTTCTCGAGATTGCCAGTGGAGCAACCGTTCAGCAAGAGAGCAACAGTCCAGATCGCCCACTACCCCAGACCAAAGCTTAACAACCAGGGCGCGATCCGCCGAGTACGTATCGACGAAAGATCCTAAAAAGGCACTCCGAGATCCCCAAATTGCCGCGATCTTCCGTTACTACATCGAGCATCTGGCCGGATGGTATGACCTCAACGACAGGAAAAGACATTTCGGGGACATAGTCCCTTCTTGTGCGCGGAAAAACTCGCTTCTTCTCAGCGCCATTCTAGCCTTTGCGGCGGCGAGCCAGAGCTCGAGCTTCCTTAAGAAAGACCTCTGGGACGTGGCAGAGTCGTATCACCTCGAGAGTGTTCAGGCACTGCTACAGCTGACGGAAAATCCAGATGAATTCCGGACCGGCGAGACACTTGCTGCTATTTGTCTTCTGCGATCTTATGAGATCATATCCCGTGCGTATCTCCCCGATCCTGTTAGTAGTGTGTGTTAACTTGGCGTAGAAAATGTCAGTTGTCAGAATCACCTTCAGGGATCATACTCCTTGTTAGCAAGTCGGCCTGCTGGGCTTGAAACGGGGTTACTCAGCGCCGGCTTCTGGAATTACCTCCGAGAAGATATTACCGTGGCGCTTATAGAAAAACGAAGTCTTATGATAGAGCTCTCTCATGAACAACTCCCTCCAACAATCGAGGGCGAGGATGACCACGCCAACAGGATAACGTACTTACTGGGGAAAGTTATCAACCGATGCCTCGATCAAGATGCGTCGCCGTTAGAGCATCACGAGTGGCACTCACTCAGCGGCGAGCTCGGTACATGGCGTGCATCTCTACCTGCCTCGTTCGAGCCTATTGGTACTCCGGGCCTCTACGGACAAAGCAGCTTCCCATGTTTATGGACTGTCAGCGGATGGCACGGTATAGACACTTTATGATACCCATTTATGTACGGACTATGTGAGCTGACGATATCAGCTTCGAGCCTGCAATACTACCACACGGCCCTGGCCATCCTGAGCGTTGCTGAGCCGATGCAGACAACAATGAATACACTACAGCAAATTGATCGAATTAATGACTTTGAAAAAAAGCTCGACCATCATGCAATTCAAGTCTCGGCTCTTGCGGTTTTCAGCAATTCTGCGCCCGTGTGGGTCAATTCGTTTGGCCCTATTTCATTCTGTTAGTGTTACGCACCGGACCGCTGGGCTTATTGCTGACTAGAACAGGCGGGCCATGGTTGAGAGATTCACGGAGAATTCACGAATTAATCGAGGAGACACAAAGATGGGGAAGCAAGACCGGCTGGCCTGTTATGAGTATAGTAGAGTCGCTGTCGCGATCGGGGACTATCGGATGAAGATATGGCATCGGCAACCATGGGTCGTGTAGGGCTTATCCGAGAGTGGAACCAATAAAAAGGGGCTTGTGGTTTAGTGGTATAACGCTCCATTCGCATTGGAGAGGTCCCGGTTTCGATTACCGGCGAGTCCACGATTTTTGCATCCGACATGTATTTTTTTTGAATCTATATGACCGATTCCTTCTGCTTAGCTTTTTATTTTAACATTTTAACATTTTAACAAAATTTAGGCTACTATGTTCATCAAAATTCTGGCTCGGGGCTTGCGTTGCTAGTATTGTTGAAGACCATCGGGATCTTGTATGCACGCGATATACTCGCAGTCAAAAATATATAACTACAAGTAGCAGGAAGGATGAAGTCCCAACCCAGCAATTGATCCATACAACACTCTCTATCATACCTACACAGAGGCTGGATATAAGGTATCCTATTTTGTGCTAACACCTCAATTAATACTCGATAGTAAAGAAATACCAATTTCCGACGGATTTGATCGAAGGTTGAAGTACCTGCTGGAGATTGTCTGTAGGAGCCTACTCATTAGCCTTATGTAGGCCTTATGCCGCCCAGTTTTCAACAAGTGGTCCCATAACTCAGTCGGTTAGAGTGCTGAGCTAATAACTCAGAAGTCGAGAGTTCGAGCCTCTCTGGGACCAGCTTTTTTTTGTCCTCATCAACACACCACTCTGATCATTGGGCAATTCTTTTGTCGGGTGGGTCCAATATCCCTCGCAAAGAATATCCACACATACGCCGTCCTTTGGAGGCTTATATCTACCGAGCTATAGCGTAAAGGTTTATGTACTCTATAACCATGTCCAAAGGCTAACAATCTGTTCATACTATCCATTGTTTATATCACGGGCCTTGAGAGCTATACTTGTTTCTTCTCGTACCTATGGCGACATATATCTAGTCCCTTGCCAGTGCCATAATGGGACTTGGCTGCCCGTACTATACGAAATGTAGTAAGTAGTTGACACGGCAAATTTGGGTGCTTCTTACTAGACATGATTTATCAACATGGCATTCGAAACTAGATCGAGCGATAGTACAGAATACAGAGTCGGAATATCGCGATTTCACGTTACATAGTTGAGTGCATTCGGGCATATTTGAAAACAGCCACCGTAACATTTCCAGAGAGACGTGATGTTGAAGCGATCAATCAAACGAATCTTTGATTAGCGGTACATCAGATCCCGCCATTGATAAGATAATCTATGAGTTAATTATTTCGTCAAGGGCGCGTGGTTTAGTGGTATAACGCCTGATTTGCATTCAGGAGGTCCCGGTTTCGATTACCGGCGTGTCCATTTTTTGCTGTTTTTACGTCCGCCCTGATAAGGAGATAACCGTTGGTACGTCGAAAAAGAATTACATACTTTTTGCTTTTGCTGTATTTTTGTACTGAAGAAAATAAAACAAAATTCATAGATTGGAATAAAAATAGAAATACAGTACAGATCCATACCAAACAAACGAATGAGTTGTACCTATGCATCGACCTACTCCGCCGCCTGAAATATCGTAGAGATATTTCTTATGAACACACCCAAAACTAAAATCCGATGCACCCCGACCAACTCGTCGTCGCTGGACAAGTAACCGAAATATAGCAGGATGCATAGCTGGCCGTGCTGTCCTCATAAGGATACTTAATGTCCTTGTATTATCTTCTGCTACCAACAAAACCAAACAAAGACAAAGCTTCGTCAAAGTCGTGTTGGCGGTTACCGAGTATACCAAGTACGTGGTGTGACGACTCGGCGTTTGTTCAAGGCAGCTCCATGAATGGGTTTGTGAAAATGGGCGAGTCTTTGCATAAGGGCTTGGCCTTATAAAAGGCTCTTTCCTAGCGCATCTTGTTAGATCTCTCCAACATGGATAAACCAAAAGACGTGAAGCAAAACAACCTACCAAACAACCCAGTTCCTCATTGAGAAAGAGTTTAGATACCCACCCTTTGACGAAAAGAATCCCACCCAAACACCAAAATGCCAGCCAAGCGCATACCGAGGGCCCCCTTCGTCTCAAGTGCAGAGGTCACTGTAGGCAGCCTGATCACCAGTATCAAGGAGCCCAAACTGGGCGCCCAAGGGTGCCCCTGGCCTCTCGGGAGAATCGAGGACTATGCGGTCAGATCTGTACCCGACATGTATGCTGTTACTCAGCCCACAAAAGAACCAGGGCTCTCTGCTTCGGTTTCCCGCCTATTCAAGAAACCCAGTGACAGCTCTGTGGGTAGCAACGATATGCCCCCAACAGGCGGCAAGATATACACACTCAAAAATCCGAGGGAGCTTTTCCATAATCTCAAGGGAGAAAAGGGCGTGCGAAAATGGCTGCAACAACGGATTGCGGATAAAGTGGATGTGTACCTGCTGGAGGGACTTGCCACGTTAGAAGGAAGTTCTTCGGTTTGCTACATGAATAGTGAGAATAGCTATCCGGCGCAGGGAGAGCTGATCTGCGCAATACGCGTTTTGAAAGTTGTTTTCAAGCCTTTTCGGACGAAAAGTATCGAATATGCGCGGTCGGAGAAGGACAGCTCTTGGGTGGTATTCTCGGACGGCAAGCCGTTGCACCCTCCGGCAGCGGAATGGGTCGAAGTGACCTCGAACGGAAAGGCGAGTAGCCTAGGGAGCCGGAATCATCAAGCTGTGGGAAGCAATGGGCACGCTGGGGTGTGTACCTTCGATGAAGACCGTATTGAGCAGATCAGGGGTTCGCGTGACGAAGTGAGTTGGTTCTCGGATGATTCTTAATAGTCTTTTCATCCTAGGGTTTGTGATGGGCTTTATTTAATGCATATACTGGGATTTCTCGTCTCGAGCCATTGCCATCTTCCATTTTCTGATATAGTGCACAGGGGTAGTTCATCCCCTATTCCTCTCAGCTGACTCAATTAATCTGAATATGCCTCAAGTGGTCTAACTTGATCAATAGGGCCCTGTAGGGTTAGTAGATCTCAGCTACCTTAGCAGTGTTTGAGATAGGATTCATTAACAGGTTCAGGAGGCAAATAATGTCCATAGGATGCAGTCGCTGGAAATTGAAATAGACTATACACTTTCCTTTTCTCATAGATCTGCAGCAATTGAGGCGATGACCTAAGAGACTACTAGGGTAGACGGAAATATTACCCGCCGATCGTCACCAACGAGCTAGCGTCAAGACCAGAACTTCTCTGCACACCAAAATGTGAGCTACCCGACTTACCGACTTAGTGCCAGAGGAGCGATGAGTCAGTAGTAATAACAGTGCCTACTGCTCCACAGACAACGAAGCCTGAGCCTCCCTATTGGCACAGCAGCACGAGGCTGAGCTTCAGCTAGCCACAGCCTCGTTGCTCCGCGGCCAGCACCCCAATATATCGACCGCGTCTGGCAAACCATCACGGTTGCTTTTAAATATTTTTCCCAAGCTCAAGTTGTGAATAAAGATGGAAGGTATTGGGACAGCATCTGCGATATTACAACTATCCGGGACAGCCGCCAAGGCGTCTTTGCAGCTTTACGAAATCATCGTGACAATTCGAGATGCCCCGCGCGAGCTCTGTGTTCTTGGAGATGACGTAGAGGCTCTGAGCACTCTTCTGTCCAACCTGCAACGATCTTTGGAGTCTCCCCAGACACAAAATGCTGTGGACAAAGACTCTGAAATTCGGAAGGTCATGGATGGCCTTCAAGGCCTCATTAAAAGATGCGAGAAGACGTGCCAACAAGTAAAAGAATACCTGAGCTCGTGCATCCGGAATGAAAAACCCGACAAAGCCTCAATTGAGAGCAAGGATGGAGATAGTAGTGCAATCGCCGAGCCCCTACCGTTGATGGGATCGATTAATAGGGTAGCATGGCTCTTCAAGCGAAAAGATGTTTTCCTGCGGGTGTCTGAGCTACAACGCACAAAACAGCTCTTTTCTGACGCCATGGGCACTCTCACACTGTACGTCTTTCAATCGCATCGCTCACTATACGAGTTCCAGCCTGACAGTTGATAGGCTTGTTACTCTGAGGATATCAGGGATATCTGCCGGGCCTGATGACTCGGCTCCTGCTGTCGGTTCGAATAGATGTCCATTCGATGACGACGCAGGATCAGCAATAGTCCGCTGGGCGACAACAGTCCACTCCCAGAGCCTGTCAGTAAGCAACACAAGCACTTCCCCGACTCAAACTCCATCGCGACCGGCGACGCCCAAGCCGGTCGATCCTGAGCTCGCGCAGGAGCTCTTTGAAGTCGTTAAACGCGGCTCCATTCGCCTCGTGGAGCTCTTGCTGGATTGTGTTGATATCAACACCCGGCGGCCTCGAGATGGCCGCACCGCACTGTCATTCGCCGCTGAGTTGGGTAATGTAAACATGACGAAGTTTCTTCTGGACCACGGTGCCCGAGTCGACATTCGCCAGTACACCCGTAGCTGTGCAGACAGTAAGGGCCCTACTTTCATTGGCGGACGCACCCCACTGCACTGGGCAGCGGACTCGGGGGCCTCAGCCAAGGGGGAGATCATTAAGCTCTTGCTGGACCATGGGGCAAATCCAAATGCGGCCACTAGTGCAGGCCGACCGGTACTGCAGTTTGTGTGCATACAAGGTGATTGCAAGTCAGCCAGAATCCTCTTGGATGGAGGCGCGGATGTGAACTTCAGAACTTTCCATCATGTACGTGACTCTCCCCCCCAAACGTTTGATACGTCTGACCTCCGTATAGGGCTGGTGTGCTGTGAGTGAAGCGGCGCATCACAATCACACAGAACTTCTGAAGGTCCTCCTGGAGTACAAGCCGTTCCTGGACGTCAATGTTGATCTCAAAGGCGATCGAAAGGCGCCCTTACACAGTGCTGTCTGCAACCGCAATACTGAATTCATGAAATTACTACTCCAGAACGGCGCTGATCCCGATATCGGCATGTTCGAAGATAACACCCCTTTGCATCTTGCTGCCGCTATGGGCTGGTTGGAAGGTACCAATATACTCCTGGATTGGAACGCCTCAATCAATGCTCAGGATGCTTTTCTCTTTGAGACACCTCTACACAAGGCGGCACGAAACCGGAAGGTGAAAATATGTCAGCTTCTGTGCCAACGTGGTGCTGATCCAGCAGTTGAGAATATCGACGGGCTGGATTATCAGGCTATTCTGAATTGCACGCAGCGGTATCCTGATGACTGGAAGGTCAACCCGGACAAGGTTTATTTCCTGTCTTGACGGGCATGTCCTGTTATGAGCCGAAGGTGCTATGAAAACCTTATTCACATTGCATGGTGTGACTTCTGTTCCCATTGGGCATGAGCCTAGGAGGATTCCTTGTATCTCATTTGTCAGGTAATATCGACAACTGAACTTTCAAGGAGGAAGACCAAGAAACGGACTGAATAGAGCTAAATTGAAGAAGTGGCCGGTCGGAGTTACGGAAATACACGGCAGTTCTGTGATATTGATAGCCCGAAGCTGGCTCAGACTCTGCCTGAAAACTATGCAAAACAGGGGCTATCTGGATATGCTACGAGCTGTGTAAACACCGTCGGGAATACGTCCATCTTTTGTGGTGGTCATGGCAGGCGAGCCACCAAGGCTACCCAGATGCCACGGGACTTGAGGAACCTGGGAGATAAGTGAACATCAGGCGGGGACTTACTCTCGCCTTTGTGTTTTATGGCTAGTTGCAATTTTTAGAAGCAAGTACCTGGCCCCTTGACAGCCTATTTCTGATTCTTGGGGCGTGCTTGGGATGGGAGTTGTTTGCGGGGTCTGCCGAAGACTCTATTACTGATTCTACTTGATAAACAATATGTTTCATAGTAAAGCTGTTTTGTATACCTATTGGACAGCAACTAGGTACTGGAAGCATAAGTATGCCTTATCGGACAGCAAGGACTATGATGTATGGCGGGTGGAGAATCATGTTCCCGAAGAGTGACTCAAGGGAACGTTATGGAGCGCGAGTCTAATCCAGATGAAAGCGATCGACCTTCAGGATCATGTGCTCCTCCCAGCGACTGGTTTGACCCAAGTAGACCTGAGGCTGCTGCATCTTATCCGAAAGCGAAATGGACGACGGCGCCTCTGCTCCTTTGACGGGAGGCAAGATCTCAGCCTGTGTCTTTACAATACCGGTGGAAGTCAGGACACGACCATTAACTCCGATAGCTTCAGCAGCCACCGTATGAACAGTGCCAGCTTTGAGGGCAAATGAAGTCTCGAAACCAGTACGTTTGGTTTCACCAAGGTATTGTCGTGAGCCATATTCATCTGTAACTTGGTAAAAGCGCCAGACCTTGGTTTCCGTATCTCCATTCCAAGAAACGTACACAGTAGTACCCTGATCATTCTCGAGAGAAACAATGGCGGGCGTCTCGTTGGGAAGACCGGTCCAGTTATACCGGAAGCCACGGTAGTTCTCCACGCCCAAACCCAAGAGACCCGAGTCCATGTATGTATGGAAGATAGGGGTACCGTCGGGACGAAACTCGGTGAGGGCACCTTCGGATCCCCAATTAACGAGAACATTGCCGTTGGGGAGGAGTTGGGTGCTCCCCTGAGATTTGGACAAGAGGCCATCTGGAGGCTGGAATGCTTGGACAATCGAAGCCTTCCAGGTAGCGGTGTTGACCTCGATGATTTTGCCTTGGGAGAAAGGATGAGTGTGGACTTCACTACCACGGCCATTCTCGGTTCCGTGAGCAGAGTTGTCATATAGTGAGATGACCTCTTTATCACCGTCCCGAGAGACAAAGCGCGCGTGATGCTGGAAGCAGAATTTTACATTGGGCCCAAGATCGAAGTCGGACTTGACACCACCAAGGCGCCAGATAATCTCGCCAGTGGAGCCGTTGATTTTGTGGACTGCGCAGGCGTCGCGAGCGGAAATGAGATAGTTACCCTCAGAATCTTTGTCGACAGAGTTGATGTGGAAGTAATCCCACGCATCCGACGAGTTGTAACCAGAGCCGGCTTGCCCGGGATTGATGGGTAGGATGGCCTCTGTAGTATTTTAATTACTTGTCCTACTTGAAAGACAGACATAGCAGTGACAGCACTCACCATCAGGAAGCACATGATCCAAACTAGACCACTCAAAGAGAAGCTCCCCAGTTTCTATGTCGAGCTCTATGCCAGGTTTAGTTTTACGCTCAGTGGACATGAGATGCTAGTGGTTACCTTGGATGATAGCATCGACAATCCACTGTTGCTCAGGGCTTGCACCCCATCGAGTGAGATCCTTCGGGACGGGCTGATAAATTTGAATGAGAGCGGTTTCCTCATTGATGATGTGGAATTCGTGCTTGTCAGTCAGTTTGTGGTTCCCGGCACGCAGCTCACGAATGGTCTCGTAATGCTGGTCCAGGATAGTCGTATGCCCATGACCATGGCCGTAGCCCGCATTGTGATCTCCTTCAAAGCTGAAGAGGATGTCCTTGCCCTTCCAGCGTGCCTTTTGGAAGTTCGTCGCCCAGATCGAGTAATACCCATAACCCGACCAAACTAACTCTCCGTCATCACGGAAGATGTAGGGAGCTGCCTGGCGAGGGCCATGCATTTCCCCGGCCTCATCCGCGAAGCCTGCAAAGGGAGCAACAAAGAGATATCCCTTTTCAACATCCGGCGCTGCCGGAATAGTGATGTTTAGTCTTGGAGGCGCCAGATCAGGGCGCGACTTGAATTGCCAGTCGGCCGCCGCAAGGGGCAGCAATGCAGTAAGCCAGAGCGAGCGCATGATGCGTGCTGAGAGCACAATGATCAGCCTCGGGTCGATCCATGTTGTTCAAGGATGGGTACATTAACCTTTGGTAAAGCCTCTGCACTGAGTAAATGTCTAGATCCAATATCCTGATATTGTGACCTGTTCAAGGGTTGTCCGTGTGTGAGTCGTTAAAAGAAAAGGAAGTTGATGTGGTTCGGGTATACAGCGTTCTTTTATAGTAGCGATTGATGATGGCACCGTTGCCGGTTCTTGCGTGATCCTGCCCCGCACCTGTCCCGAAGGCCATATAGAATACATTGACTTCCTGCAATATCCTTTCGGCTACCACAGCAGAAACTCAGTCATGACACATCGATTTAACGAGATTCTGTCGATTCTTACCCGATTCGGTGCCCGCCTGCTGCCAAGGAGCTGCCGAGTTGAACGCAATTCGTCGTCGAACTTGTTCTCGCCCTGGGCTTGATGGTCGCTAGGTTTAGTATGGCCTAGTAAACATTCGCTAATTCTATCTAGCAATATGTGTGAAGCTTAAATTAAGAGTGTGTTAAACCGATTGCGTGATCATACAGATGTCTGCGCCTGATAGGGTGGTAACTGGATGCGCAGCATTGCCGAGATTCGTATTTTAGAAGATAATTGAACTGATCTTTCATGAGTTCAGCGCTTTATGTCACTGTCGCTGAAGCAGCTTCGTTCAATTGAGAGATATTGCGCCAAGCTTACTTAAATTTAGATGATCGTTTTACTGAAATGTAGCACATACAGCCATATGGCGTGGAGATAGGCTCACAGCCCCGTAGACTCATGATTATGAGACCAGCCTGAGATCAACCCGAGCCAGTGGAATATTGTCAATATATAGGTGGGAATCCTTTGTTTCAAGATATGTAGGTGAAATCGTGAGACCATACCATACTCAACAAAGATAGATTGATTGATTAAGTCAGCACATTCCTATGTTTCTATATTGATACCCCACAAAGTAATCTATTGGCAGTTGGTCTGGATAAATAATCAAGGAGTACATTACTTGTCGTCAATATTACCAAACAACTAGACTTGAGTGTCTATGATGTATAGAGCGAAAGTAGGTTCTGTGTATAGTGAAACTGGGGCTTTAGCGGTCTTACTGGTATGTCTATCCTGTGTAGAACTGGTATATCGATAGACTTATATTATGTGACTAATAAAGCCACGAAATGAATTTTATTGCATCTTGCTGTCTATATGTGGTACTCCACGAGTGCTGCTAAAACAAGCCCATTTGCGACCGATTTTCAATGTGCTATTACTTCATCTAAGCGGCCGATGAAGACATACTGGTACCTAGGCCCGTTCACCAGGATGGCCAATAGTATTGCCTCAAGCTCCTAAGGAGAGCCTGAGAGAGATTAGTATTCACTGTCAAAGCAGGTTTGGAGCCTCATGTAGAACGGATGTAATGGGAAACTGATATTTCTATCACGGGGTTGATGGTAAATAGCGGTTGCATTGAATTAATTGACATAAATCGTTTTCAAATTGACCCAAGCATAGATCAAAAGACGGAGATTCTCAAAAAAAAAAAAAAAAAACACCCATTTTTAGCCTTAAGCTCTTCTGCTCTACAGTTAGCAAGGCCGAGGCTATTCGACTAGTTCTTATGCAGAACAGGCGAAGGTGAAACGGGGGTGAGTACTTGGACCAACATAGGCATTGGCGAATTGAGTATAGCGTCATACAATTGCTTTTACTGTCAAGCTTTCAGTATAGTTACTGTGGCGGTCATATAATAATATCCTTGAATCCTTCTATGAACTTAGGGCTGATGAAGCTTTCAGCCACTTGTGGCATATGACATCATATCTCGCAGGCTTGATATCCGGAACATAGCTATTCCGGAGCCCAGAGCACAATTGAGCCCTTCAATCGATAAGTGCCAAGTACAGATACGAGCGCAAGCTTTTGCAATTAACTTGGGAATCAGGTCTTCGAAACCTACATAAACGGCCAAAGCTCAAAGCCTCGACCGTTCTGTGACGATCGTGGCTGCAATGAGGATGGTAAGCGCAGACTGGTATGGCCTGAGGTCATGATCAGCAATTGATCGACCAGGATTACAACAAAGTGAACCTCAGAAAGGTGTTTGACTCTGTTTGAGAGACTAATAATAGCCATCGACAACGGTACTGAGTTGCCCCTGTCACGGTTCATGAGAGCGTTGAGAAGGTATGCGACGTTGCGAACCATGACGGATGATGTGTAACATGTTCCCGACATGTTGACATTCCTTCACCTTCAATAGGACAGTGAAGCTCTGAGGTACACACGGTACTGCCTAGAGGAGGACGTGGACAGCCTGTGAAATGTAGTGTAGAATAGTGCTGCCTGATTGGACATGCTCTGCATGTTGTAATTCCATTGACGGCTGAAGAACCCAGCAGTTTCCTGAGATATGCTGAAACCAAGGTACACAAAAGCCAATGACCTCAGCCATGTAGTGCGCAAAACCTGTTCGGGATCATGAAGCTTGTATGAAGACGTGGGAAATGAGGGATGGCGTCATAGGGCGACCCCACCAGCCACAGAGCAGCCCGAGCGCCACACCCGCCCCACATCCAAGACGGTATGATCAAATCAAGTATCACTTGAAACAATGCCCTAGATTCACCTTATTCATGGTTACCCCGGACAAGCTACAACCATCCTACGTCATATGGATGTAGAACCCGCCTCCAGGGACAGGGAAGAGAAGGTATATAAGCTACTCCTCAACCCAGCCTGACTGAGTTCGATCAGAGATACCAACAGACTACAATCATCTTGACACTACTACAAAAGAACACAACACCACAGCGAACACTCGTCTTTCAACTGAATACCATCATCAAATCACACACAATGTCTGGAATGTTGCACAAGGTTAAGGAGGCTGTTACTGGCCATCACGACTCGACCTCCAACACCACCCATACCAGCACCGGTACCACCAATACTGCCAATGCCACCGAGAACTACAAGTCCTCCAACCACGGCCCTCACAGCTCCAACATCGCTAACAAGCTTGACCCTCGTGTCGATAGCGACCGTGGTAAGTCAACTTTCGCCCCTCAACATAGCTGTATTGCCAGAAGACTGACCACCTTTGATAGACAACCGCGCTGGTCATCACACTACCACAACCACCGGCCCCGGTGGCGCGACTACCACCCACTCCAGCACTCATGGTCCTCAGCAAGCTCCTGTTGGCGCCGCTGGCGGCGTAGACGCCCCATTCGGCACTACTGGTTCCCACTCTACCAATGCTGGCCCGCACAGCTCCAACATCGCCAATAAGGTTGATCCCCGCGTGGACTCCGACAGAGACAACCGCGCCCGTCATGAAGCTCTGGGCGGTGCTCATGGCCCTCACTCGTCCGACCTGGCCAACAAGGTCGACCCCCGTGTTGACAGTGACCGAGGTAAGTGACTTCTCATTCCCCACAGGATTATCAGATCACAGGACTAACACATCATTAGACAACCGCGCCGCCGGTCTTGGAGCCACTGGCGCCATTGGTACCCCTGGTGCCTACGCCGCTGGAGCCAACCACGGTTACGGCACTGGTGCTGGTGTTCACACTGGCACTGGTGTTCACACTGGCACTGGTGCTCACACTGGCGCTGGTGTTGGCACTGGCACTGGTGTTGGCACTGGCACTGGTATTGGCCACGGCACTACTACCTCCACCGCTGGACCTCACAGCTCCGACCTCGCCAACAAGGCCGATCCTCGTGTTGACTCCGACCTGGACAACCGTGCCCGCCACCAGAATCTTGCCAGCAGCAGCTACAACACCACTGGTGGTAGCGCCACTGCGGGGCCCCATAGCTCCGACATTGCTAACAAGCTTGACCCTCGCGTCGACTCCGATTTGGATAACCGCCGCAACGTTGGCACCCAGCGCCAATTCTAAGATGGTAGCACGGGCTTTGTCACGAGAGATGTTAATGATTCAAGCGAAATAGTACCCCTCCTGTCTTTTTCGAGATGAATGTGCGCTGGCGATGTTTTCATCTGTGATGTACTTTAATTAAGTTGCTATTACCGTAATATGATCCACGTTGATATTTAATGGACCTCCACTTGAGCTCGCTAGAATTTCTAGCAATTGAATATGCAACTGACCAGTATTCTAAGGGTGGGGTGTAGACAGTGTATCATTGCTAAATGAATTCAGGAAATGTCTACGCTTTGGAATTACCAACAGCACTATGCTACGCGACGAGACGTAATGTGGCGTAAGTGACCGTTGTACGAAAACGAATGGCCATGCCTAGGCCGTGTGATTGCATTACTGCTGTCAGATACCTCGCCACCATCTGATCCCGCTAGTTCTGAACTCGGCGCTTATATTGTCCAATCTAAACAAGGGCCCCGCCCATGGGGCAGTATTGGCAAGCATAAGGGGACTGATATGGATGATTTCATTGATGGGCATTATTCCGAAATCCCCTCTTAGCTGCAGTGAGCACATCGTACGTAGTATTTGCTGCAAAACGCGCAGTGGAATGAAGGGCAATCACATATGTGATCATCTAATCCTAAGCATACTCTCCTAAGTGGGTACCACCAAGTGCTTTCCGATTGTCTACTACGTAAATAATATCTTACTCCGAGACCTAGGCTACTGGTGATGGTTTTTTTAATATCATTTGCCTCCTACTGATAGCTATGGTTCGCTCTGTTTTCCTACTGGTCGGAATCCTAGGTCAAAATGAGCACGAGTATTAAGCTGCCTGTTTCTATCTGTCCTTGCTAACACATCAGCTTTGCCTTCAAAGGTAGCGTAGTACAGTATATTTTGCCCCGACCCCGTATCTCAATTAAAATTGAACCTAGACAGCCAGCTTCATCCCTAACAAACCCGGACTCCGTTATGGATGTAGTCTGCAAGTCACACAGATGAGCAAATCCGACCCAGAACGACAGCTACACAACCTTAGCACGAACAGCCCCAAGTGTAACAATGACCCTCCAAGACACTGACCCCCGAAAGCGGGTATTGCACTCACCAGAACTTCCTATTCCTCCGCGGGTGGCGCGGGAACACCCTTCACGGGGATCCTGATAGCGCCATCATCCCGCTTCTCCGGCTCAGGGACACCCTTTACGGGAATGCGGATGGCGCCGTCATCGCGTTTCTCAGGCTCCGGAACGCCCTTCACGGGGATTCGGATCGAGCCGTCGTCTGGTGAGCGGACAGACAGAGGGATCGCCGATGCGAAAGCGGCGAAGATAGTGATGCCTTGGAGGATAGTAGAAGAGAGCTTCATGGTTTTCGCTCAACGTAAGGGATATAACAATGGTAAATGACTTAGAGAGAAATGGATTTCGGGTTGGAGATTTTCAAGGAATAGTGAGGACTATGTATATACTCCAGTTGTCGCCGTCCCAGTATCCGACATCCCTGCTTAGTGTAGTTCCTCGGATGGAAATCCGGACCTTCCGGGCCACTTGTCCAGCGAGTCTGGCGGAACTACTGCATGTTCTAGGTGAATCAGAGATCATTTGAAATACCCCTCTTTCTTACTTAGAGAATGAGGGGTAGTACTTTGGAATGGATCAATCCCTGCTAGGCATATTGTTGACAAGGATGTGATCTAGTGTGTCTGTGATAATGTGACTTTACTAAAAAGGATATACGCACACCTGTACTAGGTAGGAACAAGTACATAATCTCACAAATAAGATATGCAAGAATCTCAAAAAGGAGCTTGTATAGCCACCAAGGCAAGATATACTAAGAGCCAAATGCAGGTGTACGAAACAGGAATACATGCTTGTACTAAAATGGATGCGGCGCAGATAGAGTACAGATTCTGGGCTCATCCAAATCAATGATGACGTGCTCTAAACCTATTATAGAGTATATCTCTATTCCAAATATATTATTTAAGGTGGGACTGACAAGGGTCTCGCATTAATGAATGGTGGATGATAAAGCCCAAGAGCTAGTCATCGAGAGTAGCCGAAGAGCGCGCTTACGATAACAAAAGAGGGAAAAGAGGATACGCTGGACTGAGGGGAAGCCCTTTTGTCCGGTTTGGCTTATCTGTTGGCTAATATCGGTGCTGAGTACGGTTCTCTGCTGTTGCAGCCCTAAGGAAGACTTGTAGAGCGGCGTATCTTTAAAACAGAACGGGTGTTCTTTGCCTTCGCTTTCTTTCTTTGTTGTATAGGAGCCTCGGAAATCTCCATACTTCACTTCTTCGGCGAAAGTCGTGGCCTTTGAAAATGGGCTTCGAGTACGAAAGGTAATAAGCACTCAGCAGCGACATATTCAAATGCTTATGTCCTGAAATAGGGTCGACAGCAACGCTTCAGATCCTGAGCTATCCACATCCAAAGACGCCCACGAGGACGAGATCTTGTTGCAAAGCAGCAATACAGAACAATCCAAAGCCGGTCGAAATATCTTTGTCAGAGGAACTAAGCGACTACTATCATCTCCCAAAACTCGTATCGCTCGAGATATCCTCATGTGCCTGCTCGCTCTATGGGGCTTAATCAGCATCGTTCACAATATTGTTCTCGCAGCACGCCGCAACGCGCCACGAAAGCACTGCTATTGCGGCAACTCAACAGCTGAAGCGATATCCCTTGGCTGCAAGTTCGACTCTCTAGCAGCAGCCTGGTTGCCCCCCTACTGCCGCGATGACGAATTAACAGCCGAGTTCGAGAGATCGGGTCCTGGGCCGGATGGAAGCTGGGATTATTTTGCCGACGACTACCACAAGATACCGATGACCCTCGAGGAGGTCGCAGCCCTTGGAGATAATCAGAGTGCGAAGGTGACGATGACACGGGAGTGGCATGTGGTACATTGTCTTTTCTACTGGAGGAAGCAGTTCCGCGTGCGGTTTAGGGAGGCGCGCGGCGGTATTATAGAGCCGAGCTTTGATAGCGAGACTCATATTAATCATTGTATTTCGGTTATCTTGGAGGATAGTTGGGGGACTGAGGCGAGGATTGCGCTGGATTCTTGAACATATCTTTTCTGGATCTGTACTAAGAGTGGCCACTGGGAAGGTGTCGCTACTTTTTTCAGTGGAGATCTTAGAATATAGCTCGGAAATGGCCTGCCCTGAAGTGGCTGGCAACGATGTGTGGAATGAGCAATAATAAGGGTAGTGCTGTGAAAGGCAAGGCTAGAATTATTCTCTGGGATGATTCAGTAAATTTGAAGGGTCTAATATGGACTATCCTCTGACATATTGCATTCATCAGCACTAACGCACATGTTAACCTAGTGTCATATCTAGAAGCTAGTTGGATAGTTGAGGGGCGGAAATGCCTTGATAAGTACCCAGTAGCATCTCAGAGATAGTACCTGAAGGAACACGTACGCAAAAAGGCCCCCTTTATTTGAGCCATGCTATTAATAGGTGAAGATCATGGTGCTGCGGTGCATCCCTTAAACTGATTTGTTGTATTTGTGGCAGGTACCCTATTTGGAACAACCGTGAGTCTGCACACCACGCTGCATTTCTCCCAATTTCTGATTCCAGATACGGCCGTATACAGCCACGCGCAAGACTTCCGTAATTGCTCTGGCGATGCGCTTATGGACCGGAAGACGATCCCGATGCTTATTCCCCATCGTCCGCTGGTCGATGGGTGCTTTGATGTTAGCCTGCACGATTTAGGCTAGTGGTGTTTTGCTGCGCTAGGTATGGGATTCATCGGTGGGGTTGTTTCGGGCTATGATAAGGAGGACGACAGGATATCATGGCATGAGTAACGTCCATGGCGTCTTTTTCAAATAAGTTGAAAGCTGTACCCATTTACGTGTCAAATGGTAGCTATATGCAAAGTGGCATTTCTGGCCTTCATTTCGATAGTTATTTGGTAGGAAGAGCCCGTTGGACGTCCTTTTAAAGTCAACAATGAAATAGAGAAGCAAGACGCGATATGTGTGTGCGTGTGCAGCCCTTTCGGATGGGGCACTGGGCAACAGCTACGGAGGAGGACAGTAAATGAATCTGTATTTCCGATAGAAGATAGTCTAGAACCAAGAGAGTGAACCGGGATTTTTACAAATCCACTTAAGATAAAAACGGGGCAATGAAAGCCAGTTCTTGGCAACTGTGCCTGCTCGTGCAATATGTCATCCCAGAGGTGTGAACTCGACATAGCGCAGGATGAAATGCCCAACAAACCACGCGTAGATTATTTACCGCAATAGTGCAGCACTAGATCACCTTAAGTCATTACCATTGGGAGCTTAGTCTCTGTTTTACTTCATATCCCCTGTACACTTGTATGCTGGATTAGATAAGTATTTATCAGACAACTAGTGATCTATGCACAGGACTCTACGCCATTTTCTCCAAACACTCAAAGTCCAAGGATATCAAAACAGCGGAAGCGATTATTCTTATCAATAACTACCACACCAGCTAGCATCTGTTAGTTAAAAAGCACTCAGTGATCTGTGAAATACTTACGTTGGTGGAACATCCTTAGCCGTGGATCATCCATACCAGAAATTTGCTCTGCTTGTGGAGTCTTTTGGCAAAGACAGGTAATCAAGAAAGACCCATCATCCCCAGTTTTGTAGTATTGACAGCTATGACAGTCACCCTTCGTCATTCCTTGGCCACTAAGACTTATCAGTTGCCGTCGGACAGACATAACCAACCGTAGCCAAGAAGGATACATACTTCCTTTGGGCAATCATGGTCCCTCCGTTCCGTGGATCCCACCCAAGACAAGAGTCCAAAGCAATTGCTGTATCGCGTCCGCGGCATTTTCCGAATAAGTATGGCTTTGGCGGCTCTGGTATTGGACTGCGTCGTCGGGGACTGCGTAGTGTAGGCGATCCTGGCGATCCTTGCGTCCATGGCCCTCCTGGTGTCCGTGGTGTCACTGGTTCTCCCGGGAGTCGGAGATTCACAGTCTCAGGCGTTCCCTGTCTCATTTGCGGTGTGACTATTATCGTATCTTCCGATCCCGCATCGGAATAAGCTCGATCAGGACGCTGCTGGTTGGGGGGAGGAATTCTGCGCCTCTCGTCGTTGATTATCTTAAGCGGCTCGCATCTTACGTGGATGTCGTCTGTATCGAGTTTCTTTGGATCAGGCTGGGGTAGGCCTTGGCTAGAAACGAAGACTGAGAGGTGCAAAAGCACAATCAAAAACAAATACATTTTTGGGGGTTGGGAAGGGAAAATGGAAACCAAGCCAACAGAGAAAAATATAAATCGTTGGGAGCATGCTTTCCTGGGACCCGCGCATGCTATTTATGAAATCAGATATAATATCATATATTAATAGATAGGAAAAGCACCCCCCTCTAAGCTTGTGTCTTTCCCCTCTGATACAATTATAAATGAAGATCTGCCTCTCTTCTTTGTCAAACCACCCTGGGGCACCGGGCAACAATTTAGTGTCTAGGAAATATTCAAGTGCTATGGAACGCCACGAAGAGTCTAAACCTGAAACAATGAATCAATACCCTAAAAACTAAGTTTAAATCAAACGGAAGATCTATGACAGTGTAAACTACCTTTGTCGGGGCGTGGTCGGTTGCACGAACAGACTCCATAGAGTTATCAAAACGCACCCTCCAGTTATAGTACCGGACTTATAGCTTAGCAGCACCTGCGTAACTTACTAAAGCGAGTAGCATGTTGCATAGATCAGATACTCGCTAGGTTTGTGCAAGTTCTGCGTACACAGATGTAGTACATATCAAGCGCCGCTCCCAGCCGCACAAAGAGCAAATTTTTCAAAACCTTACTTCTCTTTCGAATTGTGGTTATAGTACACTCCTTTAATCCAAACAATCATTGTCTGGAATTTCTAAATAATACAGTGTTCAGCTGGCTGTACCCTCTCCTCACCATGAGATTTACATATCGTATTCTTCCTCGACAGGTTTCCATATCCTCATCTAACACCAGTAGCCTCTAATCGACTAATTACCCTTCTTCTGGGTTGAGCTACTTCTTGCTGCCACCAACCTCGCGACAACAGGAAGGGGCCAGGCCAGGCGTTCAGTGGAGTCCTTGTCCACTTCGCCAGATGTCAAGAGGTCAATAATCGCAACAGCAATATAGCCGCCAATGGCAGTGAAGACATGCCACCTGTATTCTTATTGTCAGCGGTGCGAGTCCCGGGAGTTCCAGTTGAGCAAGGAGAAAAAATGAGAAAGAAGTATGTGCATACCATCCATGCAATTCGAACAAGAACGCCAAAGGCAACCCAACAGCTTGTCTTGTGCTGGTCAAAATCAGACAGGCCCAGTCGTCAATCAACCACACCAGGTAACCGAAGATAAAGCTCGCTGTGATGGGTCAACAGTTGCCCAAACGTTTCGCTGGCTAAATGGCTTACCGCATCCAAAGAGCGCTACGCTTTGAATGTTCTTCCGGGTTACCGGATCGGGGATTTGTCGGGGAATGATCTTGAGCGTACGTGTTGCGATCAAATAGACTGCCATGCCGAAGGTGACAGCGTGGAGGAGGAATTCATCCATCACCATGTGGACGACCATCACGATGGTGAACAGAATAGAGAGAACAATGCCCACCATCCGGGTGTGCTCTGGGCTGGTCTGGAAAGAGAGAATGCGATACAGGAGGGGCGTTGTCAACAGATGCATGGACAATTCATCCGCTGGGGTTCAGCCACGTGAGAAAGACGATCGGAGCAACTGAGGATATGGAGCGAGACATACACATTTGGGTGTGGTACTTCAGGGTCATATGGTAGCCTGCCGAGCAGACGCCTACTCCCATCAACCCAAAATACGGAATCGAGCGGGAGCCGGCGTGCGGCTTATGACGAAGCTTGGACAGGCCATAGATCCCGTAAACGACTGGAGAAAGAGGTCAATTACAGGCTTTACGGCTAGGCCTTAACTAACGCACTGTATACGAAGCTGCTCAGGGTATTGATAAACTCCGCGATGTACCGGGTGACTACATAGTCCTATGAAGAACCGGCCGTTAGACCGGGTTTACTGGGGTTGCTTTGCAGTACGTACTTCTTCGCAAAAGCTGGAATCGATCATAAGTCACTGGCACTCTCAACAGATCGCAAGAAAATTCAGGACATACTTGAGGTAAGAGGTCTGCGGGCCCCAGAACGGTGCCAGGGTTGAGTGCTCCATCGTTGAATTGTTGACAAGTTGGAAGTTGCGGAACGAAGGGGTGAAATAAGTGGAACTTGGTTGCTGGCGGAGATAATTGGATTTAATGGATTAAGTTATTTATCCGGACCCACCAGAGATATGACCCGCTTTAGCCAGGGAGAATGATATGCGCATCTTGGTACGTGGGAAGAACCACGGCAAGTTAGCACCTTTATCTGCCATCATATACAATAAGTTGGTCAGTGTTAGGGTAGGTAGCACGTCAGCTGATCACGATCAAGACGGTCGTCAATCAGTTATGTAGTTCGGTTATGGCTCCCCTTAGGAACTTTGATGCTGGTCAACGTCGTACTCTCGCCCTATGTCAGCAGAAAAACATTGGGAGATAGTTCAATAATAGCATTGGGAGCAGACTCAGTGGTTTCAAGGTGCGAGACAAACTATTTGGTCGTTGGGAGGTGGATCTATGTATTTCAGGAATATTAACTGGGCTCAAGAAAAACGATCAAAGCGATGAAACCGAGAAAATTCAACGGAGAACTAGTAGATATTATCTACTATGACCTCCTAACGAACAATTATGCTGATAATTGTTGACCTTGACAATGGGCAACTGAAAGTTCTAAACCGAATTGAATTTGGGGAACTGAAAGGATGAGGGCCCCGGAGGTAGAAGTAGAGAGAGGTGTTTAGATTCGTTCCTGCTTTTGAACAGAGGGAAATGGGTATTCTTAGAAACTTCTTAGGGGCCGTTGTCGCTAAAATGCCGATCTTACCTGCTGTTGGCGTTGTTCAGTGTTGTTCCTGCTACCGAGTGGGTCCCGCCCCTTCGTAAAGCTGTAGCGTCAGACGCCAGGTGAGATGATCCAACAGCTACCGCAAATTTACCGAGGGGCTTTGGTGATCTTGACAGAAAAGCTTAGTTAGTGCTTATTGCTTATTCGCGGGGCGCAGTCTTGCGTGCAAGCATCCCCGTTCTTCTGTCGCAGCACAATTCCCCACGTGGTGTCTTTCTATCTCCCATCTCCCTTTTACTCGGATTGGTACATTATTTTCCGATTCTGCTTGTAAGTTCTGAGGAAGTTACCAAGCTTCCCGAGGCATATTCAGGGCAAACCCTTGAAGATGCGAGTAATCAGAGTAGATAGTGCTATAGCAGACCGTGTACAACTCCTCAATGAAACGTAACATGATACTCAGCTCCGCCTAAGTGGGAGATACTAAGTGCCTTTCACGCGAAAAACAATCCTAGCCCCCAAGAACTGGAGCGCCTAGCTAAGCTGCCCGACATATTGGGAAGCACAATGGCCGTGAGGTGTCGGAGTGATGGCTATGTTCGCGGCAGCACTACCGTCATAGCTCGAACATTCTCGTAGAGTATAGCTTGATACACGGGTTAGCCTGCTCAGACTGAGAGCTTTAGCGCCAAAGGTCCCTTGACTTGCTAGGTCCTATAACCGCCAAGAATAAGCTGACAGGGAATAGGGGCGAAACATGTCATTGAGATAGACTATCATGCAAGGTGAGACTCTACAATCCAAAATTAACATGGCCAGTATACAGAATCTCACATTGCAGGACATACAACGTCCATTGACTCTGCAAGAAGTACAATCTTCATACATCCTGCAAGGCACGAAAAGTCTATATAAGGGCCTCAATCGTCGTCTCTAATCACATCTTCATCAACACAACAACACAACAACACAACAACACAACAAAGCAAACAACTCTACAACACTACAACCTCCAAAAAACAACAACACCATTCAAACAATCTCTTCAAACCAATTCTTCTATTCCACTATCAAAATGCAGTTCCTCATCGTCGCCGCTTCTTTCCTCGCTGTTGCCACCGCCATCCCGGCTTCCAACGGCATCTCTGCCACCAACATCCAGAGCGCTGCTGATATCAACAACATCGCCTCTGCCTGGACCAAGGCCAAGGAAGATGATGGATGCAGCTGGCTCGGTAATTAACTCCCAAAGGCTTCACTTATACAGCTGACTGACTCTTTCCAAAGCCTGTATCAGCTCCGTCGTTGGACAGAGCGCCACTTGCGCCGCTGCCGCTGCCGAGCTTGCTCTTAGTAAGTCCTTCTGCACCAAAGACTTTGGGATCCTTCACTGACTGAATACTCTAGACCCCATTGCCGATGTTGCCTGTGTCGCCGGACTTGGCACCATGACTGTAAGTTTTGCATCATTCTTCTATCTAATGATGACCCAATACTAATCATTGACAGGTTGCTTGCAAGCCTTGCGTCTAAGCTACTGCTGGTCAGTGCTTTGGCAATGCAACCATAAGGCCAAGGGAAAGGATTGTGAAGGGGGATGTACAGAACGATGCGAAAACAATTATATCAATTTGCTGTTTATTTTCCTTTGTTTGCTACTTAGACCATCTGCTTTTCGATTTCCTTGACTATTTCCTTATATCTCTGCATGTATGTTTGTTTGTTGGCTCACTTGTTTGCATATCAATTGAAGAATTTCAGGCCTGAAACACCCATTTCAACCGTAGCTGATTGAGCCTAAAGTAAAATATCCAAAGTGATCAACAGAGTCAGTTGAATTGTGGAATGCTTGCATCTCTCTATAGTTATATAGTGGTAGTTTATCACAGTATGATGTATCTTTACAATTGAGATTCTAACTTTGTAGACTGTGTGCAGCTCCTTCACACTTCTAAATACCATTAAGATATGTACTCATTGAAAAGTCCGCCTATCATACAATCTCTATTCAACCTTTCAATGATCTCATTGCAAATCGAATAATAATCGGCCATGCCTCGCTCGAGCGATTTGCCGAGAAAATCCCGAGCTACGAAACAACGATATTTTCCACATGGTTTTTATCGTATGTACCTTTACACGTATAATACTACGTCTTAAATTCCTCAAAAATGTTTGAAAAATAGTTTATTGCATCAAAGATTATTAGAAATTATTTAGGGAACATTTAGAGGTTTTTGCATGGATTCCAATCTAAAGTGAATCAAGCTATCGAGAAGTTGCCGTGTAGATATATATACACTTTGGATGCCATCCCAACCACATATGAACATTTATACATAGGTGCCACTTAAGCATTATATCTAACTTTTAAAATTCTCAAAAAATTTCCAAAAATATAAGAGTCATCCTGATATCTTTTCAAAAATTTCTCTCAGATTTAAGATTCAATCTTTAGTATGTTAGGGTACTCTGCCTCTCTACAATCTGGAAAGGGCCGATTCGACCGAAAAGCTGGCCCCCAGGGGGTTGAACCCCAGTATTATTAACATCACCGTCCTAAACCCTAGTTAAGTCAATCTAACCTATCTAAGCCTACATAGTGCAGACTTTTTTCAATTCTTGGCGCCAAGTTGACGCTTGCCAGGTGGTCTCTAATTAGTGCTAAGCCCCTCGAAACTGGCCAAGGAAGAGGGTGACCGAGCGTGATTCAATCGGTCAGCTCGCCTGATGCTATGATTCCACTGTGAGCAATACAACTCTTTCTTGGCTAATAACATACAAGCGAGGGCTAAATATGAGAGAAAAGAAAAGGGAAATAAAGAAAAACAGGAAACGGAAATGGAAAATCGTGGAAAAAAGGGATATTCAAATAACAAAACGAGTAGACCGGGAGGATTGGGCTGAGATGCTGATCCTAAGCTAAGACCAACCTGCGAATAAACCCGTCATTGAGCCTCTATCCACGACTGGTGTGCTAACACTATCCGTAAACATGAACGGACTTGAGAGTGAAATTATTCCAGGCTGGAATGGCAGGGATGCTGACATGTCAATGCAACCCTGACTCCGTTGTGGAGATTGACATGAGAGCCCATGTGAGATTGATCTAGTGTTTCGATTTTACCCCCCCCAACCAGAACACATGAGAATTGATTGGCAAACGAAGGCTTGAGAAATCAACTACTCTACAGACATGCTCTCGAGGGTTTTGCGAGGCCCGTGAGGTCGTGCTTGGCCTGGGTGATCCAAAACCGGAAACATACAGATGATATAGAGCTTCCCGATTTGCCAATTTATATAGAGCATAATTCAAGTGGCTTGAAATAACCGACATTAAAGGTCTAGTGGTTGGAAATGGGTAAGGAAGAGACTGCGTCCTTTCAGTTTCAATTATTTAATATCGCTGCCGATCATGTATTCTATGGATGAAAAAGTTAGTATTAGAGTCTGGGATCGGGATCTAATCCAGAGAGCCCTATACTGGGCCAAATATAATTGAGAAGTAACCCATTCGAAATAATTAAATTACGTCGGAGCGCCTTGCATTTTGGCGCATTCCTCGTGGATCCATTGGTTAAGATCCTGTAAATGGCCTTGCAAGTTCCCAGGATTGATAAAGACGGACCCAGCCCCGACCGCAAGGTTTCATCGTCCACACCGGATCCCTGATACTATGCGTCAATTCAAAAGTACCTCCCTCCAGGGATAGCCTCCCCAGTCAATTTAACTAGGCGAATTGGGCTACAATGGGTTCCAATGTGGGACGAAAGCGGAGGGAGTGCATTGAGGGATTCTCCCTTTTTCTGGAATTTATCGTACAACAGGAAATCTCTTGACTATCTGAAATCAACTAATCTTCCTTCACTTCAGACTCCTGTACTGATATGTGTTTCAAAACCCGACTTGAAAAGTTTCTCAATTGAATTAAGCACCTTTGTATATGCATACTTGCAGCTCTTCATTGTTAAGGCACTAGGACTACTTCCATCGCCATGACGTCTGATGGCTTGAAGCAATTTACACATGGCCGGTCATATGAGCTTGAGGGACGCTCATCATATCAAAATGCGGACGACATCCATTTGACCCGCTTAGGAAAGCGTCCAGTCTTGAAGCGAAACTTTGGGGTGCTGTCGATGCTGGGATTCAGTTGCACCATTCTGATCACATGGGAGTCTGTAACGACGTAGGGCTCTACCACATCACCTGCCTTCGCGGTTCTATCAGCTGAAACATCATGCTCGGGATAGGTTATTTCTTCAGAACTTTCAAAAGTACACGAGATCCTGTCCATCAATTACAGCCCAGACTGATCAAAAGTTAGTGGTGGTCCTGCCGGTAGTGTCTATGGGTACATATTCGTCTGGTTTGGTATCGCTGCGACATTTGTAGTAATCTCGGAGCTTGTGTCGATGTAAGGAATTATGCAGCGATATTGGAAACATCGTGCTAAAGAAGAACCATTCAGGGCACCAACATCAGGCGGACAGTACCACTGGTGCTCAATGCTCGCACCTCAGTCCGCAATGAAAATTTTCAGCTACATCACAGGTGAGTGGAATCGCGGATGGACACCACATTATTTCCACGCGAGTCAATACGTTAACTGATGATGTCCCAAGGCTGGCTTACGGTAATTGGCTGGCAGGCTACTTATGCGACCGTCTGCTATCTGGGTGGGAACTATATCGAGACGTTGGTGACGCTCACCAATCCATCCTACGAGCCTAAAATATGGCGACAGGTGCTGATCGGTTATGCGATTGCCCTTTTCGGTTTCATCATAAATATAGCTGGAGGAAAGGTATTGCCGCGATTTGAAGGTGCAATCCTAGTCCTCCATATTTTGGGCTTCTTTGCTATCCTGTAAGTAAAAATCACGTCCCATAAATATGTGAGGTTTCTGCTTATTTGGGAAGAATTCCAATGGTCTACATGGCCAATCATAATACAGCCGAGCAAGTTTTCACCCAGTTTCTGAACGAAGGTCAATGGCCCTCTCAAGGTCTTTCGTTCTTTGTTGGCCTGATTGGACCTGTCTTTGCTTTTGCAGGGGGCGATGCTGCAGTACATGTACGAAAATTGTCTAAACATCGACGGATCCGAGAGCTGACACGGTCCAGCTGTCTGAAGAAATCACTAATGCCACTGTTGCTGTGCCCTTGGCGTTGATGCTCACTGTGCTAATCAATGGCGTCCTCGGCTTCAGCATGCTAATCGCATTGCTCTTTTGTGTCGAGGATATGACGGGAGTTCTGGAAGCTCGAGTCCCCTTCCTAACTATATTCCACCAGGCGACGGGATCTGTAGCGGGCACGGCCACTGCAGGCGCCATTATCGTCGCAATGGGCAGTTGCTCCTCGGCCGGTATGCTGGCCTCGACATCACGGCAATTCTGGTCCTTTGCGCGTGACCGGGGCATCCCTGGATGGCGAGTGTGGACGAGGGTCACTGCTCGTTCCGCAATTCCAGCATACGCAGTCACCCTAACCACCGCCATTACCTGTCTGCTGAGCCTTATTGGTATTGGCTCTGACCTGGCATTCAATGACTTGATGTCCTTGTCCACCTCGGGCTTGTTCTCATCATACCTGATTACGGCCGGACTTTTGCTCTGGCGACGCTGTACGGGTGGAATCAGTGGGTCCAAGGGTGAGCATACCATGATCAATACAGCCGGAGCCCAGCTTGTCTGGGGTCCTTGTCATGTCCCGGGGGTTTGGGGCATCCTTATCAACGTCTTTGCTGTGATCTTTATGACCATTGCAGTCTTCTTCAGTTTCTGGCCACCCATGAATCATGTATCGGCGGAATCCATGAACTACAGTGTAGTGGGGATTGGGGGAGTTATTCTTTTGAGTCTGTTCTATTATCTCGTCCGAGCGAGGAAGGTATACAAGGGCCCTGTGGTGGAACTTCAAATCGGTCCATAGTGTACTTGACGTGCAAATGATGATATCATAACCACAGAAATTGGGCCGTACGGATCCGATTCCCAGAGAGGAGGACAGGCGGAAATATCAACCGCCTTACGACTTTCTGCTTACTTAGCCGGGTTTTTGTTTCACTCTCCGAGTCATAGTTACGAATCATTTTGTAGTTAGCTGCATGTGAACCCCACTGGAGCTGATAATCGGTCGAGAACCTGGAAGAACCGAATTGAATACATAGTTTTACGACGGCGTGATAAAGTAACACCCATGAATTAGATTGAGGAAAGCTTTTAAGAAGATGTACCATAGTCGAATGCGTTGTTCAATAACTAATAGGGTGGTATCTACGGAATCTGCTCGTTATGCTTGGTGCCCCAAGTGCGATGTGTTGTGGGATTAGGTAGCCAACATTTCGGAATGATTGGCTCGTAAACGGCATCCCTAGACCTCCCGTGCGCACGGTTTACTGTGATCTGCTTTGTATTAAAAAGGGGACTCGGAATTGTGTGCCGAGTGCTGATGGGGCCACGGAGTTAAGGCGACTTGATGACACAACCATCCCTGCCCTATATGGGGAAAGGACTCCTTATGTCGGCTGTAGGGCGTAAGTTCGGTGGCCTGGCCAATGATAGACGATAGTGCACGTCTAGGGTCCGAGCCAAAGCGTTGGACTCCGCTCCCTGATGACTGTCTTGGCATATCATCTGGATATAATGGTCGTTATAAAGCCAACATGATTTTCACCATGGTCCTTCGGCGTGGCATAACAAGGTTGTGCGACAGAGTTAGCTCGCCTGGCTAATTCCATAGATCATGGGTATGGACCCAGAGAGTCAATCGGAATGGACTAAGCCAGCCTGTGAACGACACATACCCTTCTGGCGCCAGGTGGTAGACCAAGGGGCCATTACTCAGGATGTTCTGCATCAGAATTACCCTGGATCAGGAACGGAAACGGATCCCTTCCTGGTCTCCTGGCTGCCGAATGATCCCAGAAACCCCATCCTCTTTACTACACTCAAGAAAGTCGGCATTACGGTCGTCGTCTCTACAGCAACATTGGCCGTTGCCCTCGCTTCCTCAGCATATTCTGGATCTACGAAACAAGTGATGGAAGGCTTGGATGTCGGCACGGAAGTTGCAACGCTTGGACTATCGCTTTTTGTGATCGGCTTTGCACTCGGGCCATTGGTTTGGGCGCCGCTCAGCGAGTTCATTGGTCGACAATATCCCTTTTTCGTCTCATTTGGTGCGATGACGGTCTTTCTGGCGGGATGTGCCGGTGCACAGAATATACAGACTTTGTTGGTTCTGCGTTTTCTAGCAGGCACGGCGGGATCATCACCCCTGACGAACGCGGGGGGTGTGATTAGCGATATGTTTCGAGCTGAGCAACGGGGGCTGGCCCTATGCCTCTTTGCTGCAGCACCCTTCATGGGGCCTGCTATTGGGCCGGTGATCGGTGGTTTTCTGGGGATGAATGCTGGGTGGAAATGGGTGGAAGGCTTCCTGGCTGCGCTGTCCGGAGTTTTGTGGATTCTGATGACCTGCTTCGTTCCTGAAACCTACGCACCAGTTCTCCTCCGCCAAAGAGCAAAGCGTCTTTCTCAAAAAACTGGCATGGTTTATCGATCAAAGCTAGATGTCGAGAATGAAGGGGCTGTTTCTTTGAAACGGATGTTTGCCACCTCTTTATTGCGACCCTGGGTCCTACTATTCCGAGAGCCTATTGTATTTATGTTATCTGTATACATTGCCATCATTTATGGCGCACTTTTTATGATGTTTGCCGCGTTTCCTATTGTGTACCAACACGGCCGGGGATGGAACCAAGGCGTGGGAGGACTCGCCTTCATGGGCATTGCTGTGGGTATGATTGTCGGAACGATCTACACAATTCCTGACAACAATCGATACATGAGAACAGTCAAAAGACATGGAGGGTTCGCGCCTCCAGAGTCACGCCTGCCGCCGGTGATGCTATCTGCGGTGTTGATTCCTGTCGGTCTCTTCTGGTTCGCGTGGACCAACTCTCCCTCCATTCACTGGATGGTTAGTATAGCAGCCGGCGTTCCATTCGGCTGTGGGATTGTTCTCCTATACCTAGGCATCATGGGATATCTTATTGATTCTTATACCATTTTCGCCGCATCGGTCTTGGCGGCTAATGCTGTTCTGCGATCTCTGTTTGGAGGAATATTTCCGCTCTTCACGACTTATATGTATGATAGGTTAGGGATTCATTGGGCCTCATCAATCCCCGCCTTTCTTACGGTCGCATGTATGCCTTTTCCATTTATTTTCTACCGGTACGGGGAAGCGATTCGCAAGCGATGCCCATATTCTGCTCAATCGGAAGCATACATGCAAAAGCTACAGGAGGCGGCACAACAAAGCGAAAAATAGAGTCGGCACTTGGACATAATATACCGGGACATTTCAACTAATAACCGAGATATGACGACGACTGGGGAAACCAGGGCACTGCCATGGCGCTATCATAAATTAAAAGTCGGGGTTCCTGGTCAACCCCACAGGAGTGAAGAAACGCCATGCGGGGCTCCGACACAAGAGACCAAATTATGTATTATGGACCAATTTAGCGCAAGCCAATTGCACTCCGATCGGCACATTAATAGCCCCTCGGGGTAATTTACCGTGAGAACCATCCTGAACTAGAACGGACATCGTCTGATGCGTGCTCTCCCCGCCGGAGAGCCAAGCACCGTAGTGAAGCTATAAATGCACCCCGGTCTTCAGCATATAGCATGATGCGCAGGAACAACTAGCGAAAATGAACTGTGTGAAAGGCCTGGCTTGGGCCAGCTTGTTGCTGCAGGCTGCAGGGCTGGATGCAGATGCCATTACTGCTCAGTACTTCGGCAATGATGCACCGTGGTATCGCGACCGGATCCCGCTTTTCGAGTCCAGTGTGTCTGATATCCAGGATGTGTATTATTATCGGTGGAATATCTTTCGTGCCCACCAGCGTGATTTGGGTGCCGATGGGTACATCTCAACCGAGTTCCTGAATGATGTCAGCTGGCAGACTCAGCCCTCAGCTTTGCTGATTGATGCCGCCAATTTCCATCTGCGTGAAGGCCGTTGGTGCCGTGATCGTCGCTTCAAGAGCGACTACGCAAGCTTCCTCTATGGCCCGTACAGGAACCCATACCAGTTCTCTGAGAGTATGGCCGACGGAGTGTGGCAGGTGTATCTGGTCGATGGAGTAGCAGACGATGCTACCGTCCACTTAGATACCATGCAGGAGGTCTTCAAGGGATGGAATACCACCACCATGTCAACGGGAGGATACGACACCTCTAAGGCCCTATACTGGATACAGCCACTCACCGATGCGACTGAGTACACGATTGCTAGCATCGACGCATCCGGCGGCGCGGATGGTTTCACAGGAGGAAATGCCTTCCGGCCCAGCATCAATAGTTACCAGTATGCGAACGCGTTGGCGATTGCCAACCTGGCGACGTTACTGGGCCAGGAGGATGTGGCCAACGAGTATCAGCAACAGGCCACCGACATCAAGAAAACTGTACAGGACACATTGTGGAATAGCACCTACGAGCACTTCATTGATAGGTACAAAGTGGACAATGAGTATGTGACATACTGGGACTTCATTCGAGGCCGCGAGCTGGTGGGCTATGTTCCCTGGGCACACGATCTGCCAGACGACACGGAGGACTTCGCTCAAGCATGGAAACATCTCTTGGATAGCGAAAAGTTCGCGGGCGCTCACGGTCTACGCACCAACGAACCAAGCTATGAATACTACATGAAACAATACCGCTATGAAGGCGATCAACGCGAGTGCCAGTGGAACGGACCTGCCTGGCCTTACCAGACCACTCAAGTCTTGTCGGCTCTTGCTAACTTGCTCGACCACTACAACACATCTGCTGCTGTCAACCTTGTCACAAAGACCGATTACACCAATCTGCTCCAACAGTATGCTCAATTACATTACAACCCCGGTCGAGGTGGTGTCCTAAACCTGGAAGAAGACTATGATGCCGATACAGGCAGTCCGATCGTGGGATTAGCGCGCTCCCCGCACTACTTTCATTCCGGCTATGTTGACCTCGTCCTTTCCGGACTTGTTGGCATCCGTCCTCGCGCTGACGATGTGCTTGAGGTGAACCCGCTAGCAGACCCAGCCGTCGTGTCATACTTCCGTGCCGAGCGCATTCTCTACCATGGCCACGAGATCGCCGTCCAGTGGGACGCCAATGGTGATCACTATGGCACCTCCGGGCTAGTGGTCGAGGTCGACGGCAAAGTTGTCTCCACAGCACCAAGCTTGACCCGTATTACTACCAGCATCACCCGAGAAACTCCGCCGGCAATTAACCGCCCTATAGCTGTCTCCGTGCAACAGAACTCAACAGTGTACCCCCAAGGCAGTGTCTCTGTCACAGATGCAGACACCAACGCGGTTCACGCCGCCATCGACGGTCGAGTCTGGTTCTTCCCAGAGTCCGACGTCGCGAACGGTTGGGATACACCAGCTGGAAATGGCAGTGAGCTATGGTACCAGATCAGCTTCGAGTCTTCAACCAAGACGGCCAGCGCGGAGATAGCCTTTTTCGCTAATAGCACGCAAGGCTTTGATGCTCCTGAGACATATAGTATTCAGGTTAATGTCTCCGGCGAGTGGTCGGAGGTGTCTAGTGCGAATTATAGTTCCCCGGTTGCGAACGGAATTACCCGGGCCACCTGGGACGGTGTCGAGACGGACCAGATCCGGCTTGCTTTCGCGCCACAAGAGGAGCAAAAGGTTCGGCTGGTGGAGTTCAAGGTTTTCGGTGAGGTTGTCAGCGATAGTTAGGTATCGCAGCTGGCTTCGCTTTGTATGTGCACTTCGTTGGCATCCCATGTGTTCTGTGTTCTAGTAATCTGTGTTTGTATCAATCAGTATTTTGAGACACTAAGATCTTATGTAATTTGTAGTCATTTATAAGCCAGAATTCTGTCTGTAGTAGAGGCCTCGCGTACAAGTTACCTCAACAAGTCATATTTACAGCTGATAACTGACTGTAGGGATGTGGAATAGCTGCCCACTTCCGAAGCCAGGCAGCTGTTTTTCTTTTCTCAGAGATTATGTGTGCGACTGGCCGATCAAGAAGCATAACAAAACTTGCGTGATTAATGGTAAGCCGATATTCTGTTATTGGTCTCACGACAAGGTAAAGAATAGTCCCGGATATTGACAAGACAGCTACGATCCATGGTCCAGGCACAGCCCTGTCAACTGCCGTGAACTTTATCCGGCCCCATCGCTGGACAAAACCCAAGTCATGTTTACATCACTCCAATGCGTGTGCTTTATTTCATTGCAGCCTGAAGCATGATTAGAGCAAAACTCATTCCCCGCTGTGGAGCTGGTATCCAGTTGGATTGCCGATCATTCAATTAGGGTACCATCGGGATGCCGAAACCCGACCGAAAACAGTCCCAAACTGGTAAGATAGAAGGAAAACACGTGAAGATAAGGGCCCGAAACCGATCGGATAGGGAGCATATTGCCATTTTGGGGAGCACTCTCGGCAGTTGACGGGCCGCCATATCAACTGGCATCCACTCCACCTTAGCGCGTCTAGATCGCCATGTATAATTTTAGTTGGCAATTAGACATCCTTGGGATGAACGGGATCTCCCTTCGGCTGTGCTTGTGTTGAGTTAAGCTTTGTGCCAAGTACTCTTTCCCTGGGACAGAGCTAGAGTGGCTGAAATACTTCAACAAGGAGCAAATACCAGGATCATGTGTTCCTACAATCTATAATGAGGGTCTGATTGTAAATAGCTTCTGTAGCTTTCTTGTGTCTATGTTTATGTGTAGATGATGATTCGTGTTTGGTCATGAATGCGCTTTTTCTTGCTGCGTGGATTTGTATACCTCCCTTGCATGGGCCAATTGCTCTATGGTCTCCACTTTGCCTCCGGGAGCTTATGCATCGACCACCCGCCATAATCGCGCACAATTGTTAGTGCCACATTCTCCCTGGATAACGCGCTCGACGGAGTATACCCGCTGGATAATCGGCCCAGAGGTGTCTCGAACGGAAGGGAGCAAGGCAAGAAGAAATGTCTTGTCACCCCAGAGGGATATAAATTGGGGTGGGCGCCTTTTTTTCTGCGTACTGTGACATAACAAAGCATTCATTAATTCTAAGCGTTTCTCTTATAGACATCTTTGCATTACTTTAATTACTTGTTTCAACTTACATTATCCCAAAGTACCATTTTCTTTCTCACCAATGGAGCAGCCACAGACTCCCATCAACGCCGGACAGCGCCTTCTCACCAACGTCGTTGATGAAGTTGCCCAGTTCAACCCCCAGCAGAAGCTCGGTGTTATCCCCAGTGATCTCGAAGTATCGCAAGGCTTCCGGGACGTGCCGTTTGGCGAACTTGCCCACGCAGTCAATGCACTCTCATGGTGGATTGAGGAGCAGGTTGGAAAGGCCAAGAACAATGAGACTGTGGCATATATGGGAAGGAATGACATTGTCTACCTGATCTTTATACTTGCATGCAACAAGACCGGCTATAAGGTAAGAATACCAAAAGTTGTTACATCCTGGTACACTCTGACCGTCGTGAGAAATAGCCTTTGCTCCCTTCAAGCAGACTTTCCGACGAAGCCTATCAACATATCCTGGGTGTGACCGAGTGTCGAAAGTTCTTCTACAGCCATGACAAAGAACGACAGATCTCGGCGATGAAGAATTTCCTCAAAGACACTGATTTCTATGAAGTACCAGCAACAGCCGATATTCTCAACAGTAGCAACGTACCAGAGCCATACCCTTTTACCAAAACCTTCGCCGAGGCCGAGAATGATGTTGCCTTTATCATTCATAGTTCTGGAACAACAGGTATGCGAATAGGTATTATAGGTTTATTGAAAACTAGCTCCTGTTAACAAGCCTAACCACAGGAATGCCAAAGCCCGTTCCCTTGACGCACGGTTTCGTCGCGACCCTAGACTCTGTTGGCTTTCTGCCTACCCCCGTAGGCCGTCGTGTAGCTGCGCCAAACGATCCTACCTCTAACAACCTTGTTCTCGTCACTACCCCTTTCTTCCACCTCATGGGCCTCTACGGTCTTACGTCCGCTATCTTCCACAACACCCCCTTCGTGAACCTTCCCGACAAGCCGGTCTCGGTTGACCTTGTCCTGGACACGATACGCGCAACCAATCCAACAATCACGTTACTCGCGCCAGCCATCCTCGAGGATATAAGTCAGACACAGGCTGGACTGAACTGTCTCGGAACATTAAATGCAGTCATTTATGCAGGTGCTCCTCTGGCCGCGGATATCGGCAACCGAATCGTCCCCTACACCAAAGTTGTGACCCTCATAGGCTCGAGTGAAATGGGCATTATCAGCTCTCTGGTCCCAGAGGGAGAAGGAAACTGGGGCTATTTCGAGTGGAACCCTGCATATGGTGTTGATATGCAGCATCGAGGCGAGGAGTTGTATGAGCTTGTCATTCCTCGTCGGGAGTACTCCCGAGCCATCCATGGCATCTTCCATACCTTCCCTGACAAGACAGAGTATACGTCGAAGGACTTGTTTGTGCAACACCCGTCGAATCCGAAGCTGTGGAAGTACCATGGTCGCTTTGATGATGTGATTGTGCTCAGTAATGGTGAAAAGCTTAACCCAGTGACTCTGGAAAAGACGGTCGAGTGTCACCCGAAGATCTGTAGGGCGGTGTTGATCGGACAGGGTCGGTTCCAGACTTCGTTGCTGATTGAACCATACTGGAACGAACAGGGCAAGACTATCGATGAAGCTGCGTTCATTGATGAGGTCTGGCCCGTGGTTGAACGGGCAAATGAGACCGTGCCGAACTATGGACGCATCACCAGAACTATGATCAAGCTCTCCTCCCCTGAAAAGCCATTCAAGACTACGCCCAAGGGTACAACGCAGCGCCAGGCCGTTAACAGAGATTATAAGGAAGAGATAGACGCCATTTACGCCTCTGCTGATCAGCAGTTGAATCGGTCACTTCCTGAAACCATCTCCTTGCACAATATTACACAATACGTTAACGAAACCGTCTGCTCTCTTCTTGAAAGGGAGACAATTGACAACGACGAGGACTTGTACTCTGCGGGCCTCGACTCCCTACAAACAATTCAGTTGGCCACGATACTCCGCAATGCCGTCTCTTTTCAGATGCCTGCTGGCGATCGCCCACAGATCACCGCTCAGCACATCTATGCCCATTCGACAGTCACCCAATTAGCACAATTCCTCGTGAAGGTTATCACTGGTGGCACTCTCGCAATCATTCCCCGCCACGAGCGAATCCAGAACATCATAGCCAAATACACAGACGACATCCCAGCGCGTCATCTCTCCCAGGCTCAACTCCCTCCATCCTCGACAGTCATACTAACCGGATCGACCGGGTCTCTGGGCGCCTATCTCCTACACACTCTCCTAACCAGCGAGAATGTCTCTAAAGTCTACTTCTTCAACCGCTCTGACGCTCAGTCACGCCAAATCCAAAGCTTCAAGGAAAAGGGCCTCGATGCCACTCCTCTTTCAGACTGTTCAAGAGTAGAATTCCTCAAGGTTTCCTTCGGAGAGCCACATTTCGGGATCGACGATACAAAATACACTTCACTCTTAAACACAGTCGACCTAATCATCCACAATGCCTGGAAAGTGAACTTCAACCACCCCTTCGAATCCTTCGAAGACCCGCACATCAAGGGTGTCCGAGAGTTCATCTCCTTTAGCCTCGAAAGCAAATACAACGCACACCTCTCCTTCGTCTCATCCGTCGCGACAATCGGCGCCTGGACCTCGGAAATGGGACCAGTCGTTCCCGAATTCCCTCTCGAGAATGACGAAGCAGTGCTAAAGCAGGGCTACGGGGAGTCAAAACATGTCTCGGAACGCATGTGTGTGATTGCATCGGAGAAAGCTCGCGTGCCCACTACTATCTTCAGAGTTGGGCAGATTGCTGGCCCTACTACGAAGAGTGGACTTTGGAACCCCGATGAATGGTTCCCGACCATTGTCGCGACGTCAAAGGCTCTCGTAAAGGTTCCGAGCACCCTTGGTTCGATGCCTATTGACTGGGTTCCTGTTGTATGTTCCTATGCCACCATATGTTATTCCAATATCTCGCTAACCTAGTCACAGGATACTCTGGCCCAGATTACAGTTGAAGCTCTCCAAACCCGTCGGGGAACCCTTTCTGAAACACCAAACGCCTTCTTCCACCTCATGAACCCTAACCACGCGACCTGGTCTTCGCTCATTCCCGCCATCGAATCGAAATATAATACAAAGACAGTCCCTTTCTCCGAATGGATCGCCGATCTGGAATCTATCAAGAATCCGTCGGACCAGGATGTTCGGGACAAGCCAGCTCTGAAACTCCTCGATTTCTACCGTGGGTTGTCAAGCGGAGAGGGCATGTTATCGGCTGATATTAGTGTGCAAAGGACGAAAGAGGCAAGCGAGACGATGAGGAGCTTGGGACCTATCTCGGCTGCGCTGATGGAGAACTGGATCGAGCAGTGGGGCTTTTAAGGGCATAATACGTCTTTTGGATGAGCGATTAATTGGCTTTATAGACTGGGTTGTTGTTTTCTTGTATTCGTGTATGCATGGGTTAGCGATGTTTCGGTCTTAATGTGATTGATAATTGATTTATTTCTTCATTTTATTTAGGTTCTTCTTGAACTCTTTCTTAGATATCTATGTTCTATATTGGGTTGCGAATGTTTGTTCTCATATTCAGAAAAGTCACAGGCCGTGAGGAGCCTTCACCATCTCAACAGGGTAGAGGAGAAAGCAATATGAGGGAAGAATGAATAGACAATTAAACTATGGTGACATTCAGTCACACTTATTAGATGCCTCCCATACATATCTGATCAAAATCAATACTCCAGGTCCCAGTGTTGAGAAGACCACCTAACCAAACAAGAAGCTTGCTACCACCCTCCCATAATGCGTCTCCTCCTTTTCAAACAAAGCAATTTCAACTCTTTGAAAACCCCCTTGACCTTCGTCACGATGGCCCTTTCACTCCGTGTCTCTAATTCAGGACCCCATATGCTTATGGCAATTGAGACGGCCATCCCTTGACCACAGCACAGCATCTATAACCACATATCAACAACCCACCCAAGCCCTAGAAACAGGGACACTTACCAAGATCAAACTTAACCTTAAGCGCCTTGTCCTTCGAGTGGGGAATCTTCTTCTTCGACTTGTTGTCGACATTATCGCAATAACATTCGAATTCCCCCTTCGCAGATTTGCCCATGACTTGAGTAAAATAGTCGCAATTCCAGCAGTCACCCTTCATGAGTCCCTTGCCATCCGACTCCGGAGTCAACTTCTGTGTCTGTGCATTCCAACCAACGCACTTGTCCAAGTCCAGTGTCGTCTCTCTCCAGTCTCCGGCCGGGTGTGCTTTCTTGGGGTCGGACATGGGCCGACGGCAATCGGCCGTCAGTAGGACCTGACGATATGGGGTTGTGATCGTAGTGGGTCCCTTTCCTGTCTTGGCGGTATCCTTCGCTGAGGCTGTTGCTCTTGCTTCAGGGGAGGTTATCTTGACCTTAAGGTAGCGGCATTCGTCATGTAATGCTAATGACCCTTTGTTGCCGTTGTTCGTGCCGGATGTCCCTCCGGAAGAGCCAGGTGTCATGTCTGTCATGGGTATGCCTTCATCGGGCGGAGTTTGCTTGGGCTTCGACAAGATCCCGCCTCCGGCTACCAAGGCTGAGAGATATAGAGTAATGATAATTATGAAGTGATGCATTTTGCTCTGGTTACGCAATGAAGTACTGAACAGGGAGATTGTGTGCATAGAAAGATTGAGTATCAGGACGTTTGTGCTCGGGCCTATTTATGTGAATCTGCTCTGTAGACACCGCTTCTCTGCGGTTTTAGGGGAGGCTTATTTTCGTTACGATGCCTTCCTTCCCCTAGGTACCTAGTTCTGGTGATGGAATTTGTTCCTTTGTGACGCCAAGCTGGGGCGCAGGGCAACAGCTTAGGGATTTAAATTGGGGCAAACGGGATGGGCAGCAGAGTTTTCTAGGGGCCGCAAAGGTACGACCAATACATTTCAGGGGGCAGAGATCTAAGAATCATGATATGATTGATAACGCATACATGCATACGTCCTATATACAAGAAAGAACTGGAAAGCGTCTAAAGCCACCATCCTGGTGCTCTGGTGACACCCTCCACAATACCATACAATGAGGTATCATCAGAGTGCTTTTACATCCCTACTAGAATCCATTTTGTAGCACAGGTGAGAAGGGACAAAGAGTGTATCCACTTATGGATCGCCGCTCTGCCATGTAGGTCACTAGGTGCATTTGCGTACGGATCATATCAGGTGTTACATCCTCTACAAGCACCAAGGTACCACTAGCTGTCCACAATATCCCCACAAGGTTCTTTATCTGATCGACACTATAGCACCTGATATGACTCAAATACCCTCGCACTCTGATCGCCTCATCTAGAGCTTCGCTTTAGCTCCTGTAACCTCCACTCGCCTCATATCTACACCGAAATTGTGTTAGGAAGGGTGCCATCTGATAAGGGCGTTATTCCAAACATCCGGCTCGTATGATCATCTCATTTTGCATCCTCGTCAGTAGAATATCCGGAAAGAATTGTCCTTCTTGTAAACTGTTGACTAATAGAAATTGCGAAGGTTCGGCGCAGGCTGCAAACCAGCCTGTTCTGCTCTCCTTCTCTATTTCTTTCTCTTTACCCCTTTTTCAGAGTACTGACAGAATGCCGCTACACATTTAGCCTAGGGATCATACCTTAGCACATACTATTGGTACTTTGCAGTTTATGCCGGCAGGAATGTAGACATGTGCCCAAGGCAACGCAAGTTCTCAAATTGACGCGTGTGGATATACATACATCTAGCAAACTAGTTGTATATTGCTAGTACCTCCAAAGCAACCATATTTTAATCCTATATTTTCTTAAACACCAATACAACAGGTCCCCCGAATCCCAGATCCAGAACAAGCATGGCAACAAAACCAAATCCCAATCCAGAGCTATAAGTCCAACACCGCTATCATCTACGCATCTCCAACTTATCCATGAATGAATTGATCCATTGAGACCTGTGTTCCAAGATGTTCAAAGCAAGCCAGAAAACCATCATGAGTAACCTGCACCAACCCATCTACAGCCTCCCTAGTTAGCAAAGTCCCTACAGCCGAACAGAAAACGTTAGACCACTCACCCATATTAATAGATATCCTATCATCGTCCGTCTTCTTGACATCGCACACACAGTGAAGGTCAGGCTTCGCGTAGTAGCAAGCCGAGCAGTTGCCCTCCTTGATCCCGTTTCCACGAGACTTGGGGTAGAGCTTTTCGGTATCCGGGTTCCATCCCAGACAGAGGTCCAGGTCCAGCTTCGACATCCTATAGCTTCGGATGCGACGGTCACATGAGCCCCAGATGGCCTGCGGTCTGCTGGGAGGTCGTATGGGATAGGGCTTTTTTGTGCCGTCTGCGTTGAGAGGGCGCTGCACGCCCTCGCCCGCGATTGCGGGTCTTTCGCCATTGATGAAGAGGCCGTGGCATTTGTCGTTGATGTTGTGTCTTTCTTGCTTGGAGTCTTCGATCGGTGTTTTTGATGGGTCTTTGCGGCCGGCGGCTACTAGGGTCGAGAAGTATAAAGTGAGGATGATGAGGAGTGTTCGATACATTGTGCCTAATGCGACCTGCGTATGGGCGATAGTGTGGTAAAGATGATATTGAAGGAGTTGGAAATAGCGATGGAAGGGTGTTCTGGGCTGGGCTTGCGTGGCCTATTTATCTATGTACTGTATTGGGCCGGGGTTTATTATACTTTTATATAGGGGGTTAAGGTTGCTTACGCCATCCGTCTGAGTTATTTAACTGGGATATTATATGGGGCTCGTTGTGGACGAAGGGTTGAGAACGAAGTCTAGACTGACGGTTAGACTGGCTATATGCTTTACCAAAGCTCCATGCTGATAGCTTAGTAGCCCTGTGGAGGTATTCTTGAGGCTAATGGAATTGCTACGGCCGAAAGAGCTCTCACCTCCTACCTTTGGTGTCACGTCACTTGAACACTGCAGTCCGACATGACATGAGCTGCGTACCAATAAGAATGCGGTGATATGTTGTGTGCGTTCAAGTAGTAGACTGCACCTGCCTGCCAGCGCTGACTTCTAGCGATAAGAAGAATCCCAACGTAAATCTGGGTACTGGGCAACGGTCTGCCATAATGATCAGCTCGGGCAACACGGGAAGAGCTTGACATTAAGGAAGAAAGCCATGTTCTGTCTAGGTACGCGATGAGAGTTGAGGTTTAGTCAGGGGCTTTTGCGTTTGGCCGAGGATACGAATTTATTCAAAATGGAGAGCCCGTCTGTATAGCCCAAACAAAGTTCCCTAATAAGTTCAATGATGTAGTACAGTGTAGCCTCGTCTCGCTGTTACCCGCGGGATAATACAACAGCATATTTATGCCGGGCACAGGAGACAGCAAGTCTAACGTTACACAGATTCATATCAGTCTTATATGTTGTTTTCCTCGGTGTATGTTACTCTGGTCTGCCAGGAAGCAAGACATGGCTCTCAAGCCTACTACGTGATACCATTCGACACTGGCTCATGTGCTAGAGCCTAGGATATTACTAGTGTCATTATCACTTTAGCTGAAATATAATTATTATTTGCCTCTATAATCCGTCAATTTTGCCCGGATAAGCCAATATGCCCCGTTGTCACTGTCGAAGAGGCAAAGCCTGTCCTATTCCCATAGACTCCTCGCCTGGCTCGTTCCATAGCCGATCCTGGTTCGTCCTCGAAATCCTCGTACACCGCCACCTGCGTGTGCTGCCAAATTTCCAAACTCTTGTCTTCCCGTGTGATGTGCTCCGTGCTTTCCGTCGATATAGTGTGCTTCCTTGACCGGCCGACCGAGAGATGCGCCAGCTCGTTCGGCGGTCCGCTCTCTGGAGAATGCGTTGGTTTCCGACGAAGTGCTATGTAGGTGCCGAAGATCGTGAAGCCGTGCACTTTTAGAAGCCGGCGCAGGAGCGTATAGCAATTAGGGGCGTTGGTCACAATGACGGCGGCGCTGGCCTCCCGCACGTACCAGAAAATCCACAAGATACTATTCGGATGCGTGAAGCAGTAGTATCGGCTCAGTGTCGCTGCGACTACGACAAAGATTCCGAGACTGAACACACACAGGAGGGCTAGCTTTCTGGCCCAATGTCAGCTTCTGCCTTCGCGGCTGGAAGTATCCTATCTTTGGTCACATACTTCCTCCAAAGTAATTGTAAGCTGAGAAATACGGGTATGGGGATGCAAAGCATGGCCAGATCCGAGGAGAGATTGAAGGCATATGACATGATTAGATGATGCTGGGCGCTCTCGCATTGCGCTCGAAGTATGTCAGCATGCGATCTGTTCTGGAGATATCCATCGTTGCTCACGGTCATTGTCTGCTTTGACGACGAAGTAATTGGAAAATGGTCGACACCAGACCCCGTAGTAGAACACTTCTACTATTATGAAGCTTATTGCAATGTAAGCCATCAGGATCTTGACTGGCAGAGCCATCTTTGTTCCTATCCTATAGTTCCTATCAGTATGTGCTTGTTGAAGAACCCCCGTAAAAGCAAAACACAGAAAAATTTCGCATACGTTAGTCGATAGTACACTAGGATCATACAGGCTTTGCACCCCCATTGCAGCAATACCATCGACTGTTCCAGAACAAAGGTAATTTTGCTTCCATAGATGCGATCCTGAATGTCTTGTTCGGTAAGGCCCTGCATTCCTGTCGGCGGCAAGATGTTGGTTTTGGGGTATTTCGCTTGTATGTTAACCCAGACAATGAAGTTGGTGTACAAGCCCTGTCTCTATCTTCAGCGTCTACATTGCAACGGGTCATGAACCACAGTGAGCATACATAAGTCAACAGCATGATATAATCCTCCACCATCAGACCCTTGAACCCACCCAGGAGCATACCCCTAGAGATACTGGAGACGGATGTCAGACCGAGCAACGGTGTGAAAGGGACCGCTTACTATCGCCAGATAACCACGACGCTGGTGATTGCAAACCAGGTCCATGATTCCACCAGGCGGTCGTCGTGCATGCTGAACTATCCAGCCACATCGGTGCAGCTTACCTGCTGACAAAGGGTGAAGGAAGGCCATGTTGTCTTATATATGGGCACATAGTGTCAGCAGGTCTTGAACCCACCACCATCCTCGGAGAAAAAGATTTTCTTGCTATAGTGTCTTGCGTTGGATATAGACAAGGTTGTGTGCAACGGAATTAAGCCCGGTCTCGGCTTGTCTAGTTTACTTCCTAATTCCCTTAAAACGGTTTTAGTGCTCCTTTAGCTGACTGGGCCCACTGGACGATATATTGATCTGCAGGAAACTGGACCAGCGGGCCGAAACCGCCCGCTGTCATCGCCGTGCCAAATGTCCATGTCGCACCTGACAGTATCCACATCGTGTCTCATGTGAAATTAGTCCAGTTCAATATCGCTATCGGGACGCTATCGTCAAACCTTTGGCTTATCTGTATGGCAACAATATGTGAGAGGGAGTCCCACAATGAGCTATAGATGTTCTGGAGCCCTCGTGCGGTGTCACTGAGACACCCTTATTTAACTAAATAGGGCACCGCCCTACATAAGATTACTGGTCTCACCATGAACTGTCTCAGGCAATGCTATGCAAGTATCATGCAAGGGATTCGCCGGAATGACGCTAGCAAGGATTGAGGTCTCAGTCGGAGGATTTTTTAGATCCCCGCCAACGGAACCAGAGACCGACCGATAAGAGTGCCCATGCTGTCGGATAGAAAAGACTTCTTGCTTGTTAATCTCCCCATGCCCCGCTCTATCTGTTCTACCACTCCTTCGCTGTTGTCCGTTTCTTGTTCCATTCCTCTCACCTTCCCTCTAATCGTGGCCAGAGCACAGATATGGAGATGGAGCGCGAGCAGAAGAGCCTCTGGCATGTGGGTATCGAGTCGCACGAGGGCTCCCTCGAGTCACCCACTGAGCGCACAAACACTGCGGTTGACCCAGGGGACGAGGGGGAGAAGCGCATGAGGCACCTTCAAGAGGGCAATGGTATACTGCGATCGCTGCGCGATTTCGAGACCTGGATCGACCGCAAGTTGGGCGTGGAGGCCATGGGAGTCGAACGAGTACCAGAGGATAAGCGACGGCCACCACAGAAATTGAATGTATGTAATAGCATCTGGAGGTGAGCATGGAGGCGATTCTCTCATTCTTGCGAAATTTGGGACTCTCGACTGACGCGTCCGACCCCGCTCAGATGATGTTCTTCTGGTTCTCCGTCCTGATAAGCCCAACGCTGATCCCTATCGGCTCGCTGGGTCCTATCTTCGGCCTCTCAGTACACACCTCAGTCATTCTGACTATCTTCGCGGCTCTCCTCGGGACCATTGTCCCCGCGTTTACCGCGACGCTGAGTCCACCCAGCGGCCTGCGCCAGGTGGCAGTTGCCCGCTATGCATTCGGCATCTGGGGAGCGAAGCTTTGCGGCCTGCTGAATATCATCGTCAATGGCGGATACGCGGTGATTGCCGCGGTAGTCGGAGGTCAGCTCCTTGTCGCCGTGTCCGGCGATTCGATCCCACTCGCAGCGGGTATTGTCATTATCGTCGCGATCGGCTTCCTCGTATCCTTTTGCGGCTTCACTCTCATCCACCACTACGAGCGATACGCCTGGATCGTTGCCCTGGTACTCATCTGCGTGACATGGGGACAGTCCGCCAGGTACTTCTCTCCCACCCCCGGGCTGAGCAAACTCAGCGGCATCGACTACAGCGGTGCCTGTCTGAGCTATTTCGCCGTCGTCTTCGGCGTCGCCTGCTCGTGGTGTCCCATCGCAGGCGATTACTACATCCACTACCCAGCCGACACAAGCAAATGGCTCGTCTTCTGCCTCACCTACTTCGGCCAGGTCCTCCCAACCATCTTCGTCGGCACGTTGGGCAACCATTTCGGCGGCATCATCATGTCCAACGACGAAATGTCCACAATCTATAGCACAAAAGGAACCGGCGCCCTAATCCTCGCCACCCTCCGACCAGCAGGCTGGGCCAAGTTCGCCTGTACCATATTCGCCCTCACCTTCCGTAAGCAACCTACCCACTCCTTCTGAACACCCAAGAAACAAAAGAAAAAACATAAAACACAAAAAACCAAAAACACAAGACAGAAAAAGATAAACAAAACTAACAAGACCGCACAGTCGCAAACGTAATAGCAAACATCTACTCCAGCGCCCTATGCATCCAACTCTGGGGCAAGCACTTCCTCGCCATCCCGCGCTTCATCTGGTGCGCCCTGGTATCGGCCGTCGTGCTCGCCCTCGCCTGGGGCGGCCGCAACAAGCTCGAAGCCATCATCGACAACTTCCTCGCCATCCTCGGCTACTGGACCCTCGCCTTTGGGCTCATCCTCGCCATCGAGCACTTCTGGTTCCGGCCGCGGCTCGGCGGCTACGATCTCAGCGCGTGGCAGGATCCGACCCGCATGCCGGTTGGGCTGGCCGGAACAGCCGCTTTGTTGATTGGAATCGGGTTTTCGTTTCTGGGCATGGCGCAGACCTGGGTATGTTCTTTCTTTCTGCTTTTCTGTCTGTCTTTGATTGTTTGAGTGGGGATTTGGCTAATGGGAGTTTTTTGGGACAGTATGTGTCGCCCGTGGCGAGGAGGATCGGGACACATGGTGGCGATGTGGGCGATTATCTGGTTTTTGCTTCGGTGGGGGTTTTTTATCCGGTTTTGAGGACTTTGGAGATTCGGTTTGTGGGGAGGTGAGTGGGCTTTCGGTTGGATTGGTGTTGGATAGATGTCTGTTGTTTTGTGGGTTGTTTGTGTGCGATGGGATCAACTGGATTGGCTGTCTTAACGAATGCCATCACGATACCTTGAATATGACTTGTTTGGATTCGATGTTATTTTTGTAGATATGTATATGAGTCGTTGTATCATCCCGAGAAAGCTTTCTGAAGGGGCTGTGGTATTGGTCTGACAGATGGTTGAAGAAGGTATGGTATGGATATATGGCCATCATAGTAAAACAGAGAGGACAATGATCTCTTAACCCATAGTCGAGCTCATGGTCTCTTAGCCAGATTAGATGGGAAGCTGTAGATTGACAATGAACGCATGATTCATAGATCCACAAAGCCTTCTGTCAGTGCAAATGAGATTCTATACAGTAACCCTGAACTAGAGAATGCACATACATACATCTTCCCAGACCCTCTGGAACCCGCCGGGAATGATGGAAGTCTGTTCCTACCGAATCATAAATTGGTTTGTCTACCTTTACTGGCCCAGTCGGCTTAGTCCACACACTTGCTTAGACCACTATATCATATAGTTATACTGTACCACCTCACACAGCTAAAGAACAACCGTCTCATCTTTAGCCGCCTCATCCAGCAATTCCTCAACACCGCGGGCCCGCAAACCCTCCAACACGCCCGTCCCCCACGTCAAAGCCCTATCCTCCGGCACCTTGTTGCAATTGGTAAAGCCCATCAGTCTAAAGTACTCCAGGTCGAGATCTTCCCCAACCAGCTTCCCCGACGTAATCCTTTCGATCACCTCAGCAAACGGCAGTTTCTTCAATTTCCATGCTGGATCCCGTCTCTTGATCAACTGATACAATTCAAGATAGGTGAAGGTTTGCCCCCCAAAGTGAGTAAACTCGTTCCACTCGATCTCATCATGCTCCAGTATCGACAATGCCGCGCGAGCAACATCCCGGACAGGCGTCAGCGTAACCTTCTGCTGTCCATCCGCGTACAGCTCAAACACTTTATTGCGGTGGTCCATCACCCACCCCACGCCGACGTCACGCAAATACCGCTGCGAGGCGGGCAAAATGTAGTCCATGAACCACCCGTTGCAAACCATGGTCCATTTCACCTCGTGCTGTGCGCGGAGGGCCTTCCAGATTGTGTCGCGGGAGTGTGCGAGCATGATCGGTTGGTCTCCGAAGTCTTCGATATTGGTAGTCCAGGACGAGGGCAGGAAGCGCTTGCATTTTGGGGACCGGGTACATGCTTCCAGAAGTGCGAGATGGGCCGCGATATATTTGTCCTCGGGGCCGGAGAAGGTCGATACCACGGCGTCGCAGTCTTGGAGGTGCAGTGTGAGATCCTCGACGCTGTAATCGGTGATCTGTTGTCTGATGGGTAGGGTCTCTAAGGCGGCTTTGTGTTTGCTCGTCAGAAGGACGACTTCATGGCCAGATCTGCTGAATTCTTCGACGAAGTAGGTACCGACGTCTCCGGCGCCTGCAATCGCGATCTTCATGCTGGGCAGTCAAACGACCTTCGCGTGTCTCTTGGGTTAGGCTCGGAAACACTCATGCTGGCCGGATTGGCACGGTCTTTTTAAGAGTCCCTGTGGCGGGGACATTGTGAGACAGAGTAGCCATTTCTTATCTATTGATCCACCGGCCGGGCTATGCGACGTGGCCCATTCGACACATTGGACCATGCTATATGGAAGGTGGATTATCAACCCCACCTCACTAACGAAACTTGGCCATTGTATGGAATCAAACTTGGCTTGAGAGAGACTGTCTCATGACGAGCTAGGCCCTAAGCGTGTTAGCCCAGCAGGATAATCATGATTCATAAATCCATGACAGCGTACTCCGCCGAGATCGTCCTCTTACCTTGATAGGTGTAATTTCTCACATCCGGTCCCGGTCCAGTTCCCCGTAGGCAGCCTGAGCACTGCAATCCAGTGCTCTCACCACGCGACGGATATCGTCGTCAGTGGTTCGCGGATTGATGGTACACATCCGGAGACCAACCACGCCTCCCAGACGAGTGGTGAGAATGTACGCGACATTGCCGGCAATCAAGTCTTTCGCCACGTGAGTATTAATCTGGTCGAGAAGCCTTTCGTCCACGCCGTGTGGGGCAAAGCGAAAGTTCACGATGGCTAAGGATGTGGGGGCTAACAGAACCCAATCTGGCAGCTTTTTTATCTCGCCTTCAACAAGTGCCGACAACTCAAAGCCTCGCCCAATCATCTGGTCAATTGTGTCCATGCCAAGCACCTGCAGACTAAACCAAAGGCGCATATGGCGCGCGGGCCTCGTCAGCTCGATTCCATAATTCCAGGGATTCTTGGGGTCCTTTTCACCCTCGACGTCGCGGCAGAAATGGGCCGTGGATGCAAAACTCCCCAGGGGGTGGGATTTCTCGCGGAAGACGATCGTGCCACAGCCGTACGTTTGAAAGAGCCATTTGTGGGGGTCCCAGGCGATGCTGTCTGCGCGGCCAAGTCCGCTCACCAGGGAGCGATGGGTGCTGGAGAATGCGGCAGATCCGCCGTAGGCGGCGTCGACGTGCATCCATAATCCATATTCGTTGGCTGTGTCTGCAATTTCGTTCAGAGGATCAATGGCGCCGGTGTTCGTTGTCCCACACGTGGCAACAACAAGGAATGGCTTGCAGCCGTCAGCAATATCGTTTGATATCGCACGACGAAGACGGTCGGTATCCATGCGGTATTTTGAATCGCAGCGGATAGTCTGGACTTGGAAATCCTGCAAGCCGACGATGCGGAGCGCCTTGGTGATACAGAAGTGTGCGTCTTCCGACATATACACGGTCACCTTGTGTCGCAGCTCAACCTTCAAGCGCTGGTCCCTGGCAACGGTCACTGCGGTCAGAGTCGCCATCGATGCCCCTGACACAAACTGGCCACCCGCAGACCGAGGCAAGCCGAACCGTTCAGCAATCCAGGCAATCATGGATCTTTCCACGGCGCAGACGCCGGAGCCTGACTCTAAGCTTCCCGCATAGGTATTGTATGCGGCAGTGAGAGAGTCTCCCAGCCAGGACACGGGGGAGACTGGTGACGGAATGAAAGCAAAGAATTGAGGATGCATTGTGCTGATTCGATATGAGAAGATCTCGTCGGCGTCGCGGAGTACATCTTCCAATGGCCTGCCATGGCTCGACGGGATGTGTCTCTCAGTCTCCGAGAGCCATTCTTCACTCGGATAGTTGGCAATTTTTACCGTTTCAGGAGAGAGGCTGTGGTATCCGACGCGTTCAGACAGCTTTTGGAAAACATTTGTGAACTGGTTCATGCCATGACTGTCCACCCTCTCTACTGAATTTCGGTGAGGCATCGTGTATACTGTTGCCGAGTAATAGAGATATGAACCTTTCTAGAGAACACAAGGGTGGGGCGTCTGTAAAAGTAAATTGGGATAAAATGGACAGGCCTGGCACGCGATTATATCTAGTTTGTCAGTTGGAAAGAAACTATAACCTGCTGAGCGGCCTGTTTGAGAGAACGTGGTGGAGTTAATTTTCAAGTAATTTGGGATTGTGGCAGGATTGCTGCTGAGACACGGTCTGGTTCGAAGTTAGAGCACAGTGTCGTGACTTCATAAAGCCAAGGCACATGGCAGCCTCAGGCATGTCTGTCTATTTGCATCTAATTCGTTTCATACCACGCGCATGGAAATGGTAAGAAACATTGAAAACCTCAGAATTAGCTGATCATATTGTCGCCTTTCAGCAATGTCTTGCTTCAATGCGGCGTATGTATGTACATGCATCTAGTCATCATTACTATCATAAAAGCTACTCACCTCCCACCCATTGACGGAGCTATAATCAGCCAGCGGCGTGGTACCATGAAGCACCTCATAGTGCTTCCTGGGGACACAAGTCGTCGAATTCCCTTCCTTGCATCCGTTCAGCAACCCAGCAATCCGTCTTCCTGCATCGCGTCCTTCGAACCATGCCCCATGCAAGAAACCAAAGTAGGACGGGCTGGTAGCTTCACCTGAGAACCAGAGTCGGTCGGTGTTGGCTCGCAGATTCTCATGCATTTCCAGGCTCGTGCCCATGGGCCAATTGGAATAGCTACCATAGGACCACGGCTCCGTGCTCCAGCGAGGATACAGGAAGGCCGTCGGTTCAGGAACCTCCACATCCGGGAACATTTTACGCAGGACCTCGAGAATTTCCTGCTTGGTCTGCTCGTCAGACTGGCGTTCCGCGCGCCAGGCAAACTCGTTGGTAACGGTCACGAAGATGATGTTGGATTCCGGGTGGAAACCGTCCATGGATAGGGACTGGAAGAGTGGGTAGTAGCCGCGCGTAGTGGGGTCCGCGTACAGGAAGTACTGGGTGTCCGTAGGCCAGAAGGTCTCATTGAACTGCATGAAAATCTTCGTATAGGTGCCCATGGTGAACATCTGGATTGCGGTCCTCTTCCACTCAGGCAGCTCCGGGGTGAAAGTGACGGCATCGTTCTGCAGGACGCCCAAGGAGAATGTGCAGAGGGCGTATGCAGCTTGGACACAGTTCCCATCGCTACTGTAGACCGTAACGCCTTCGGGCCCGTACGTGATATTCGTAACGATTGTATTCAGAAGCAAGCGAGGGTCATCTTCAGTCAGGAACTTTGAGGCCATGCCCTTGATGATCGTGTTAAATCCCCGCTGGTCGGTGACGAAGTTGTCGTGGTCGCTGAACTGATTCGAGGTTAAATTGGTGCTGGCGATACCAAATACCAACGAGCTTTCTAGTGGCGTGAAAGCCGCCTCGAAATCTATTTATCCTCAGCATATGCACCGATGCTATTGGGAATACGAAACTCACCCCAACTCCACCAGTCGACTGCCTGCGCCTCCATGTCATGCGACTTCGGCTTCCATCCAGCCAAGGCCAATCCGGCCTTCGCCGTCTGGTCCTGGAGGTTTTCAAGAAGGATCCGGCCAGCCGCCGGGTTTGCAATATCATAGGCTTCGTCAAACTCATCCAACAGATGCGAGTAGTCCTTGTAGCCATCCTGATTGTACGTCGAGACATTGCTGTAGTTCGAGTATGTCGTCTGCAGGCCAAATTCCTTGGCTAGGGTCCAGATCGGATTTTCCGGACCTCCTGGATTTCCGAGTCCTTGAACCTAATCGACAATGTCAGTCAAATACGTCCGATGTAAGGGATGAGCTATCCGCACCCAGTTGGCACCCATTTCGACCACGTAAGGATTTCCATCTTTGTCCTGGCCAAAGTTCTCATGCCAAGCACGACCACCAATTCGATCGCGATATTCCAGGATAAGAAAATCATCCACGGACGCTTTCGACAACGTTTGCTACGAAGGGTCAGCGGTATTATTTATTCCGCGGTCAGAAATTCGGAATGCATACCGCAGCCGAAATACCTGATATTCCCGCCCCTCTGCGCATCGTCAGTATAAGCTCGGAGATTATCACCGATAGCCGGATGGGTAGACACATACAAAATGGCAACTGTCGTCTTCTTACAGGTTCCTTCCTGATCCCTAGGTTGCGACACATAGCCCACCACGGGGCGGACCGCCCAGGCTCCTAAGCTAATTAATGAAAGGCGTCCCAGAAACATCATGAACAATCAAAAATGAACAGGCTTTTTGTCCACAGCAATCGTCAGACCGTGCAGGATAGGATCGCCTCTATAAATATTGCTTCCAGTTTACCCACCTGCCCATTCCGGCGCCCGGACAAGTCCAGCCGCACATTCGGAGAATTTTGTTTACAGACTAGCGTTGCAAATAATTGACATAATTGATATAGACCGATGGGGTTTCTGCAGGCAAAGCTGCACATTATTGGTGGTGTTCCTACGCGATGGGGCAGGTCCATGCGGTCCTTCTGCGGCTGAGCTGATCGACGTACCCAAAGTATCGCACGATTTCAGGCTTTCAGCTCACGAAGCTGATAAGGAGCAACATCCATCCTTATCCTTGCCTCGGTACCTAATTGACTTCCGTTTCCCCGCATCGCTGATGCCAATCTTCGGTAGCTTCCGATTGCCAGCAAAAGCAGTGCAGACATTTCTGTTCCCCGTCTGAACCGTAACAGCCGTTGAGGGGAGTTTGCAATTGGGTACAGAATTCGACCGGGCTTCCGATAGCTCACAAAGTGGATACTCTCGCTGCAACGTTGGGAGAAATAATCTTATCGGAGGTGTGGTGATAACACGGAGAAGGGAAGGTCTCTAGAATCAATCTGGGAGAAGTTCACGACCGACTTATTCACCCTTAACCCTAAATAGCATGTCCAAGAAAATAGGCAGTCCGAAGCATGAAAGTTCCTGTTGGTCGAAATTATCCCGCTTCTTTATGATTAAGTTCGCCTGTTTAGGGCAGGTTACTCTTGCGTTCACTCGCTGTCTTTCCAATGCCTCCCTAGTTAGTATTGTCAAGCAGATTTCGGTTGAGACAAGTGGCACAGGGTAGAGATTAAAGGTATGTATGGTACAGAATGTTCTTTTACTTGATGACAAATCTCTCCCAACAATCACATCTAGGCCACGGAGTTAAATATGTCTAAACGAGGTGCGGAGGCGTCATAGCTTCGCCTTTTCCTGGTCGAGGGTTGAGATCAACTTCTTCGCAAACTCCTCCGCATCAGTAATGAACCCATTGTGCCCCCCAGGGGTAAACTCCAGCGAAGCCCCAAGGGTGTCAGATAAAGTAATCACCGGGAAACTTGCGAGCTCCGGCGATATATCTAACCCTTTCATACAAACTAATTTGTCCCGATACGGCCGAAGATTTTCGGGGTCAAAGTGATAGTCCAGGACTAGTTGTAACTCAAACCCGAAGAAAAACGCCGTATCGTTTTCTGGCCGAGACATCGATCGTACATAATGTGGATCCTGGCCCAGCCTCCGCTGGTCACGCTTGCCTTGTACATGAGCCAGCAACACGCGCCGAATTGTCTGTCCGCGCGCCCCATACTTTAAAATCCCATTAAACAATCCTGTTTTGATATACGTTTTGAATGAAGTGGGAAGATGGTCAACAAGCAGTGGCTCGTGTAGTATTAGATGCTGTACAAGGTCGGGACGAGACTGAAGGAGCTCAAGGGCCATCACCCCACTGGCGGAAGCCGCGAAGACTGTCGCAGGCTTCCCTGGGGATAAATATTGGATTAACTTGGCCACATCGTCGGCTTGTGCTCTCAGGTGGGTCGTCGGATTCGGTTCACCCGGCGTGACGAAGAGGCTGTTTCCGAATCCTCGGCGGTCATACAGAGCGACAGTATAGTGTGATGAGAGCGCAGTGGCTAACGGCTCATACAACATTGCGGTGCCATTTGCTCCAGGCATTGGAATAAGCAACGGTCCAGTCCCAATAAGTTTATAGTTGAGAGAGGCGTCCCCAACGTCAATGCGGGTTGCGCTAGAGCTCTTGATTGTTTGCATCTTTGCTCTGTAGCACCTCGTGTAGGCTCTGACAAGATGAAGACAGACATCTCAAAATACCAACACGAGCTGTCCGGTGTACTTATACTTTGACCAGTAAATATTCTCCGTCATTGTTGCTTTCCAAGTTGAACATAACCTTCATTAGCTGTAGAGCCGGGCCCGCAAAGGAAACGTATGGCCTAGAGCTCTTAGCCACTATCCATTCTGGGAAAGGGTATTGCCTATTTGAGTACTTACTGTAGGTTCTTACGTCTCGAATAACCAAGAATGTCTCCGATCGTTCATCATCTTATCGATGCTTTGTCACAGCATGTCCACTGTTTGGTTGCTTCCGCGGCCACCACTCGCTCGATTTGCCACCATCCAGGACCATCGGTCGGAAAACTTGCCATTAGATGGCCATTGCCTTTAACCTGGCATAACCTCAGACCTTGGGTCCAAGATTCAGGCCTCGTTATTAAAAAGGAAACGGATAACATCGCTGCGATCCTACAAGAGATATCTTGCTTGCCTACGGCCATGGACAAGGTCACATGGTCGCGGTGCCACATCCGGACTAGAGCGAACCACTGGTGATTTCACCTGCAGGAAAGTTCTTGCCTGTTTTTCCAATCAGCAGGACTTGAGGTAACCCCGAAACTGGTTCGGTGGTATGCGGGCTACTCGCGGAGGCTAACGTCCAGCGTTACGCTTCGTGTGGTGACTCCCACCGTCCCCGAACTATCGTGACATCAGGCAACCACATCAGGTCTTGTTGGGATACCAGCTGAACCTGGTTATCATTGGAAAGCGGTTCGGAAACATACCCTGACTACATGGGATGAGCCCCTCTCAAGGCCCCCACTTATGCATGCTGTCAACTTGTCATGCAACCAACGTACAGATGTCGGTCAGAGATAAATAGCGGAGAGCCCAGAAGTAGCGCACGAGTCCCCAGTCAGGAAGTCTTCCCACCGCGTGTCCGTGCTGGCCAACATCGTAAGTGGACTTTCATAGGAGGGGCTAAACAAATGACAAGAAATTATGAATCACAGGCGTCATTCTGTTGGTGACTAGTCTGGCACTAACATCGGATCATCCTTGTTTGTGATAAGGCGGGTGATACGGCCGCCACGCAACTTAAGCGCTGTGCTGAAATCTGGCGCTTATATGCAGTGTCCTCGACGCTGGCGGATTATCTCCTCCCCGCCTTTTGTAAAAAGGCACTAGTTTCTAATGGAAGCTTAGGTAGGACCCCGTTTAGAGTACTAGTCCCAACCGTAAGTGATCCCTTTGCATGATGGTGGCGGATCGTCCTATCTTAGTACGCGGTTTAACGACGCCAGTGCGGAGGGCGCCAGATATATGCATCACTGTTCCGTGGGAAGCGATGCACATGCAGGATTGTATTGCTCGAGCAGAATGCTCCTATCACAAAGACTATCTAGCCCTTGTCCTTTGAAAAAAGCCTCCAACTTGTTGGTCAGATGTGTTGGACTTGGGAACCCAAGTGGGGAGTCGGTGACTCCCAGAATTAAATCAAAACCTCTCTTGAGGTATTTGAAGGTATAAATATCTAGCCATGGTCCACATCAAATACTAAAACAGAACAGAATCAATCTTATTCTTGATTGTTGATAACTACGAGGACACAGCCTCCGAACACGCTTTGCTTCCTAAACTCAATTCACCACGTCTGGTCCTGCTCTTCTTTTTGTTTTCTACGACCTTGCTTCAGCATTACAGCTTGTCAGTATGCAGTCTCGAAGGTCTGCCATACACAAAAGTAATGCGACGCGCCGACGAAAATCGTCACCGTGCTGTGAACCATGTCGCGAACGCCAGTCTCGGTGCGACGGGAGGAAACCCATCTGCGGGCCTTGCACTCAACGGTCGCATGCGGCTGACCGATGTCTGTATAGACGCAACATTGTCAGGATATTGGACACTCAGGAGTATGTTCCCTTCGAAGGGTTGGCGTGGACTTTGCTCACAGACAGACAGATACCTTGAAGTCCTTCATCGCCATATTCGCGAACTGGAAGAGGTTTGCCACGAAGCTGGAATTCCAGTGCCCACGTTTAATCCAGATGCTCCATCCATGGACTCAGACGAGGAGACACCTCAAATTGGCTTGGGGATTCAATTCGATACTCCGCCAGCTTTCCCAAATCAGGGAAATACTCGCGCCTTTCCACCTCCCATAAAGCCGGAAACCTTCCCTTCCCTTCTGACAAACCCGCAGGAGGGTGATTTCAACTTACTGATAGCCAGTAATCTCTGTGGCGGTAACGAAGGATTTTCAAAGCAACCGAATACGTTTATGGGAAGCCCACCGAGTGCGTGCCTCATACGCCTTTTGACCCAAGGCCATCTGCTGAGAGATATCCCCCATGGTCCTGCTCATGCTCATTTAGATGGTTCTCTTCTGCCGCCACGGGATTTTGCCGACCATCTGTTGGGTTGCTTCTGGGATCGGGTTTACTGCCTTTATCCTTTCTTTGACCGATCCAGTGTCCAAGATGCCTACGAGGGTCTCTGGACATCCGGCAACACAGAAGGTCAAAAGTCGAGTGAACTCAACATCGGCCTGGGCGGCAAGTCTGACTCCGGTCGTCAGTCACCAGTCTTTATCTGTGCACTGAACATTATGTTCGCACTCGGGTGTCACTTTGCCGAGATCTCGGTTCCAGATCGGAATGGCATAGCGCATACCTTCTTCCTTCGGGCCAAACAGAATATTGGCCTGGATCTGCTCGAGGTCCGCACTATTGGCGCTGTCCAGACCCTCTTGATGGCTTCTTTGTATCTTCAAAGCATACCTGATTGCCATAAGTCTTGGGACTTGGTAGGTATGGCGTGTAGAATTTCTCAGGGGCTTGGGCTTCACGAAAATCGACCAGCCAGCTTCAAGGACCCTCTGGAATTGGAAATTCAGCGTCGCACATGGCATGGGTGTGTCATGATGGATACGTAAGTTTATTGACCTATTGTACTAGTCCGGGTGAAAGCTAACGGGTGCAGGATCGCGAGCATGGCTTGTGGGAGGCTTAGTACAACGTCTTCCTTGCCTGCGATTCCACTGCCAGCAGGCATCGGCCTCGCGCCTACAGGCACCAACGACCCGTATTTGACAGCCTTCTACCCCGCTAGTCTAGAGCTGGGTAGCATTCTAGACACGGTCTTGTCGGCTGTGCACAAAGCACGGTGCGACCGACCGCGCACCCCGGCTAGCTCAACAACTACACAACAGGACGGAGTAGATGTCGTGGTTAAACTGGAAGAAAAGCTAGCCCAATACAAAGGCGATCTTCCCGCGGTCCTGAGATGGGATCATCCTTTTAACCCAGCAACTGACGTAACTCAGTTGTCGACTTTGAGGCGTCAGAGAAATGTTTTACATGCCAGGTGCGACCCCGGATGGAATCCTCGTTACTGGCCACGCTAATAATTGTTCTAGATTCCTTTACGTGCAGATCCGACTCTACCGTGCCGCCTTTACCCATCTCTGCTCTGAGATGCTGGCTCAAGAGGATTCCGAGACCGACCACCATGACCCGGTCCTTCGGACGCTCTATTCATCGACGTTGTCCAAGCGTGCAGCCGCCTGCGCAAAAGCGGCGATCGAGTTGGCCTCCCTGGTCCATGACAACTACCAAACCACCACTACCAACACCTGGTGGTACAATTGTTTCTGTAAGTCCCACCCGATTTGAGAGGTGTCGGACGAGGCTGACCAACAGACACGTCGGTTGCGGGTATGGTCCTCGTCATGTCCTACACCTGCGTGCCCGCCCTGTCCAACATCGAGAAAACTGCCGTCCACGAAGCTTGGCGTAAGTGCGAACAAATATTGCAGTTCATGATCCCGTATCATTTCTCCTCGAGAAATACGTTACTCTTTTTCCGGGCCGCCCGTGATCGGATTCTCTCGTATCTCGAAGACACAAATGAGACGAGCGGTCCCGACAAGGGTCCTGAGTCAAGCCATGTAGATGGCGTCGAGAACCCTTTCGCCGACGATGCAGAGGGCTTGTTCAACGGAGCGAACTGGCTGGGCAGTGCCGTGGCTATGGTGGGACTGGGATTCCTGTGCCCGGCGGATTTTAAATGGTTTCAGAATTGGTTGGCAGAGGAGATGCCGTGAGTATATGCAGTGTGACGTCCTGTTCTTCTTTCCCTCGGTGTTTGTTTTATTCCACGCGCGTGTTTGATTGGTCCAGAATGAATTGTTTTACCTCGTTCAGCCTCGCTGTGACTTGTCCATCGTACTACTAGTAAATGACAGCCTCTTAGCGCCAGCGGCTATGCATGCGTTAGGCTGCGCTCCTCCGCCCATATAACAATCCCCATTTGTCACGGCTTGAACCCCATTCTTTCCCCTCTTTGTGTTGGTAAGCTCTGGGCGTACTATCAGAGTAGTTCTCGCCATGGACCTCAGCTCCGTAGACACGCCGCAACCGCCCGAAGTAACCATCTTCGCAGATGATAGTATGGCCTAAACCCCCTACCTAACCTTACTTTTCCCCTCTTTACCACAGTGCTGATTAGCTTCAGACACCGGTCTATTGCGACCGCAAGAGACAGTTGACTTGGAGGCATTTTTGAGTGTCCGTATACCCTCCTCCCTTCAATATAGACATGGAACCGCTAACCGACCGCAGTCACCTCAACGATCGTCCACCCAAGTGATGTATGTATTCTTACAAGACCAAGCTACTCATCGGTACCATAGACTAATGCCATTCTACATTATAGCTTCGCCCAACATAAATCGCTGGAGGAATACGACGCCCATCTCAGCCTGCCCACTGATTACCGGAACACGTTCACCGCGGACCTGAACTCCTCGTTCCACACCGAGTATGGCTTTACCGGGAGCGCAATCACCCACCACAGTGAGTCCTGTCTTGTAACTACAAGATCACGGATGCAAGATAATTAACAATTGACGCCAGTCTCATGGTCCCTGTTTAAGATCAAGATGGTCGAAGAACCGGGCAAATACGCCTGGATCCAGGCTTCCGTCTTCATCAACTGGGATCTGCAAGCTAATCAGCAAAGAATCTTCTTCGTTGATGTCCCCGATGCGGAACGCAAGCAGCTCGAGCAAACCTTTCCCGCCCGCGACATGAGCGATCGGAACCCGTATATCTGGCACGCGGTATTTGCGCACGCAATGTCGAGTCTATACCACGACTCGTTTTGGAAGCAGCGGAATGTCATCAGGGAAATAGAGAGGGTGCGTTTCCGTCCTCCACTCCTCCCACCTTTTTTATTGCTAAACTGAGAGAGTCAGATCCGAAATGCAGACAGCGAGAACCTGCCCAAGTTCCTGAAGGGCCTCAACGATAGCGCCCGCCATGCCGTGCATCTGAATGAGACCATGGAGGTCGCCGAGCATACCATGAACAGGCTGCTTACGGAGCACTCACGCTGGAGAGATGAGTTCCCCGAGTATGTGATGGGCGAGAACAATGCCGTCCGCGGCACATTCTTCCAGACGAGGCAGAAATTGGCCTTCGCCGCGAAAGAAATCCATTCCGCTAGGGTTAGGTCTAGGACTCTGTCTGATCGGTTGGCGAGCGAGATTCAACTCGTATGTTATCACTCTGATCACACACCCTCTCTGTCTCCTCTTTCTTTTATTTGTCTATTCAATTTAGCATACGATAGCATAAAACCCCTTACAATGCTTCAAAAACCCTAACAAGACCGCAGGCCAACACCCTCGTCTCCCACCAAATGAGCCGCCACACCCGCTACGACAGCATGGTAATGAAGACCATCAGCTTCGTGGGCATGATATATCTACCGGGGACATTTGCTTCCGTACGTTCACCACCTTCTCTTCCCCCCCCCCCAACTCCCACTCCCACTCCCACTCCGTCTTCTACAATATTCTACACACACACAAATGTAACCAAACCGAACAAACCTAACAACCAGACCTAGGGCATCTTCGGCTCCAACTTCTTCGACTACCAATCCGGCGAAAAGGAGTCGTGGGAAATGTCCCACAAGTTCTGGCTGTACTGGGTTGTGACCATTCCGTTGACGCTGGCGACTTTTGCCGTCTGGGCGTTGTGGCATTATCGGGCGAAGTTTGGGGGCTTCCCCCGTAGAAGACGTATAGGGGATGCTAGTGAGAAGGTTTGAGTTGATTTGATTGGGTTTTCTTTTTTGGATATTGGGTATTGTATTGGGTGTTGGGTGTTGAGTCTTGGGTATATAATCTACGACTTAAATTGCCCGGAGTTGTTTGTTACTAGTGCTATATACCACGGAACTATGTATTTTTCATTTGTTTCGATAATGAGCTAAATTTCCATAACAAAGACGAATCTATCATTGGCGTTGCTGGGTAGCATGCCTGCTGTAAGGAGAATGGGAAAAGAAATTGAAGAAAAAGAAAAGATATTGGCAAGATAGAGTCGACCCGGATTCGATAGCAGGTATGTATACTTATTCCAGTGTTTCTTATATTGACTACTACAGATCAGGTGGTTGCCTTAACCACACGGCCATCTTGCCACCGCAAACCAAAGTTGCGCTGAATACTTCTTCCGCTATTACCATCATGCTTATTTAGAATATGTATACACTCGTGCTATGTTAGGTAGATATTAAACGTAAAATAGTATATATCATTATAGGACCTCTATCTATTGCGACGAGTATCGTCCCGAAACACCGTGTACTTGAAATACCCGATCACATTATCATACGTCACCACTTGCTGTATCGCTCGTCTCTTCCTTAATCCTTACCGGACGCATGAGCCATTGACTGTCTATTTCCACAAACAACGGAGCTGCCTCAACCGGCAGATTGATTCTCATCTCTTGAGCCGTATCCTGGAGCGACCAGAGAAGGCGCTTGGCTTTGTCGAACCGTCGCGAGAATGCCTTCGCGGCAATGCTGAGAATAATGAACGCTTCGCAGTTGACCTCCTTCTGTAGGTTTTCCAAGAGAATGAACAGTGCCGCTTGGATCCATTGAATATGGAAGATGGGGATGTGTTCGAGGCCCCACGTGGTTCGGTACATTTGCATCCAGTGGGCGAGGCTACGGGCGGAGGATAAACAGATGGTGAGGGCTTGTGCTGGGTCGATTGTGTCGTGGTTCGTGTATGGCATAAGCGTTTCGCGAGACAGCCTGTGAGGGTTGTAGATGGTGATGAGGATGGCGTGGTAATACATGCTACACCGGTTAGCTCTACCTCGGCTTGATCTCGGGCGCTAGATAACTCACTGCAGGCATAGGATGTGCGGAAGTTCGGTGTCCTTCTCTGTCTTCAGGCATTGTGGTAGGCGATTCGCCCATTCCGTGAGACGTTGATGGAATTCGGAGGTCTTTCGTTCCATGTCTGGACGGGACCGAGGCGCCTCTTTACAAAAGTAAAAGTCTGCGACCTCATACGCGATTAGATTCAACGTACAGAGCTCGTTGAATAGACATTTCGTGTGCGACGGCGTTCCGTCCGCCGGTATTGGATATGGATTCCACTCGTCCTGATTCGATCCATGATTCACCGGCAGGAACGATGGTTGTTGCGGCGGCTTTATTGTCGGTGTCTTCTCATATAACAAGGAGTGAGTCCTGGCTGAGATCAGTTGTCGCTCTTCTCTGTTGTAGTAGTCTGAGTTCCTACGTGGCGCTGTTGAATAAACCCCAGCTGGTGTTATTAACTACCCGGGCCATACGCAGCTCGTCTTCGTTGACCGTCGATGAAAGCACTGCGTGCTTTTGCGCCAGTTCGTTGGCCGAGTAGGCCAGTTGACTTCGATAGATCCATGCCTGGCGGTCTTGGCCTATCATACAGGCACTGTTTGTTCTTAGTCTATCACTCCGTAAGAGTGTGTAGCGAAACACTTACCGTGCCCATAGCACGCCGATACCTTGGACGGTGGGAAGGCTGATCCTCCCTTCCTCCTTGTCCAGCAATCGCTTCGCCTCGTTGTAAAAGTGCGCACCTTTCGACGACACATCCCCGGGAACAGCATACGCTTCGGGATAGTCGGAGTATGTCTGTGATCGTTAACAGAGAAAACATGACCTCAGACACAGACGAGGGCGCGACGTACACATGCATATGCTAGAATGGCATTGACCAAAAATGGCGAACAGTATTTGGCCCCCAGCAACCCCGCTTGCATATCGTGAACGAATTGGCCACGATCGACCCAATTGGAGAAGGGGTGGGACCAGGTCAACCACAGCGAGACGAGGTGCGAAACAAAATCGTTGTCTGAGACGACGCTAGTCCAGGGCTTCGCAGGGACCTGAAACAACGGTTGATCCGACAATCGCTTCGCATCCAGGATCCGGCGCACTGATCGAGAGTCCGCGTCCTGTAATCGCTGAACCTCATGACTGACCTCGATGAGCTCGGGCATCAGGGCGAGTTCCACTTCGGGCACCTGATGGTTGAGATAGTGTTGGATCTCCGGCAGCGAGGCATTGCTTCGGATCAAATTCAGCAAGGGAATGGTGCTCCGGTTGCCACTTTCTCGTAGGACGTTGACCAGGCGGAAAAGAAGATCCTCTTTCTCCTCCAGTTGGTCGATCTTGCGTTTTAAGGCTCCGCGGCGACGCTTGTCGAGAGTCTGATCCAGAGTACATTCGAGGCGACTCTTGACGCAGTTTGCACAAGGCGCGGTCCCGGTGCACTACGCGTGTCAGGACCGAGATCTATTATTACAGGGAACGAAATAATACCTTGAGCTTGCGAGCCTTGCAGGCCGAACACGCGGTACCGACGTTTTTCCTTCGGGGGTGAGCATCATTGCCACCCGGGGTACCGGGCGGTGCGGGCGCCAGCCGTCGTTTGGAGTCTGTCATGATGTTCTGCAGACATCAATCCATGATGAGGCAGAGAAAAAGGGCCTTGAGGGCAGAAAAGGGATAGGAAGCGGGAAAAGAAGGCAATGAAGGGATGAAATCACAGAGCAAGGAGCTGATACCAGGAACGTCCGCCTGATTCGCACGCGGCGTAATTGGTGGGCGGAAATGCACGCCATTTCCCCGCAGAGAGGTCGTGTTCTAGGATTACCGTAAGTTACGCCCGCATCGAGTGGCTCTGACACGCAGCTATACCCGATTGGGGTAAATTGGGACGCGTTCGTACGAACATTCATTACAATAGTCTGACAAGCCATTCTAGAAGATAGTTCCCGCCAATCAAATTCTTTACCTCGATCTGATCCGACCAGCGACTCTTTTGGTTCTTCCCAACAACTACGACGGGATGCCGAAAGCCCTAAGTATGAGAGAAACTTGGAATAAGACATAAAGCAATTGTTGTCAAATGAATTAACACTATATTGGAAGGAGTAGTCATGACGCATGAACCATGATGAAATTAATTCGGACGCATGCTCGGAGCGGGTACTCCACGCCCGACTAGAGAAATATATATGTGTTCTACTATACATGATAATAACTGACGCTCTATGATTCTACCGATCAAACAATACCACTCTTGCTCTTAAACCCGGACTTCTCCCCGCGGTCATTGCTGGACACCGACCCGTCCGGCACGACACCCTCATTTTCCTCATCCGGCTGCCAGAACTTCTTTTTCCCTCTCGCAGCTCTCTTGACCCAAGGAGGGAAGAAACCACCAGGGAGCTTATAGGTCCAGGCATCCTTCTCATCCTTATTCGGCGGCACGAGCCGTCCAAAGCTCGCCTTTTCAACGATCCACACCAGCATATTGATGCAGATGTAGCTTAGGATACCAGCAATCAAGCCGTACGCGATACTGTAGGTGAAAGGCATGATGGCGATAGTGAGGAAGGCTGGAATGGAATCACCGTAGTACTTCCAGTTAATTTCGGCGGCAGCCTTGCACATGAGGGCACCGACAATAACGAGGGTGCACCCGGTCGCCCAGGGAGGAATCGAGGCGAAAATCGGGGCAAAGAAAACGGCAATGAAGAAGCAGAGGCCGGTCACACACGAGGTCATACCGGTTTTACCTCCTTCCGAGATACCAGCACCACTCTCGACGAAGGCTGTCACAGGAGGGCTGCCAAAAAGCGAGCCGATCGAGACACAGATCGCGTCCACCATCTGCAAACATCAGTTAGTGCCAATAGTATCAGAGATCGATCCGGTTACACATACATAGGCGAAAGCACTGCCCTCGAAGTCCTGAGTGCGCTCATCGATCGCACCAGCAAAGCGCGCCATAGAGTAGAGAGTACCCGTAGTGTCAAGAATATCAACATACTATTGATCCCATCCAGTTAGTCCCGCCGGCGCGACACGTGATAACGGAATCAACTCACCAAGAAGGTAATGAACGCCAATCCAAACTGCGTGCCATGTCCTGAGAGGTCCCACTCCTGCGCCACGAGTGTATGCTTAATCGGATGGAACGTTACCACTTGTTTGAAGAAATCGAAATTGCTGTCGCCCAACTCTGTGTGCGGGAAATACGTCACGGGTGTCGGACGGGGCCAGGAGATGATCGAAACCAACAGAATACCGATGATGACTGCACCCTTGACGCGGTACAGCATCAGCATTGCCGTCAGGATACCGCCGCAGAAGATACCAACCCACATGGTGGGGTTGCGCATCTTGTCGCTCGCGGGACACATGCCCGTGGTGGGATCACGCATGGAAGAATGACATCCGGCAAGTTCCATCGGAGTGTCCGTCGAGCCGGTGACCAGGCCAATTCCGGCGCTGTAGCTCAATCCAATGAGGGTCAAATACAAGCCAATGCCGGTACCCGTCGCCAGTTTAATCGATGCCGGTAATGCTCGGGCCAACCACTGCCGGATTCCCATGAGGGTCAGGGCCAAGAAGACAAATCCTTCCACAAACACCGCTGTCACCGCGACGCGATATGGGATCATTCCAAATCCGTGATGTCCAACCACTGTATAGGCGAAGTATGCGTTCAGGCCCATTCCAGGTGCCAACGCTACCGGCAGATTCGCCAGCAAACCCATGAAGAACGTTCCCAGCGCCGCAATGGCTGCGGTGGCCGTGACCAGATCCCGTTTAACTTCCTGCACGCATAGCAGATACTCGGTGTTTGAATTACACTTGTCGGCCCAGCTCTCCGGTGGACAAACGCATGTGCCGCCCGAATCGGAGGTGATGGTGGAATTGACGCTAATGATGTACGCCATAGCGAAGAAGGTCGCCAATCCTGCCCGAATTTCGGTAAAGAAGAAGCTTCCCTTTCGTTCTTGGGGCTATATGTTTGTTAGAGATCGTTTTCATCTCCGAAAGCACTCAACATCATGACTTACATGGCCGGAATTCTCTAGACGGAACCATCGCCCAACTGGCGACCGCGCCACCTTGAGATTCGTACGATGAACCCAACCCATATTTTCTAGCTTGGAAGTGGGAACTGGAGGAGGCGTCTCAGCCTGGGGTATAGATGAGGCAACGCCTAACACAAAAAATTCAAGAGACCTTGCGGAGAAGGCCGGCTTTTATTCCACCCATGGAGGGGCCCAGTGCACCGGGAAAAAAAAAAAAAAAATTGTTACAGGCATCCTTCGCCTCAGTGCTTATCAGTGGCTCGTGTGACTGTGCTCTTGGCAATGACAGCAGAAGAGCCACTTAAGGGACTGGAATGCCAGTCAGATGGACGGTTCTCTTGCCGACCGGGCCAAGGATCGAATCAGCAATGCTGTTACTGGACCCCTAACAATTGGACCATGCCTATTCCGTACTCACGCGGGTCTCGCCGATTTTTTTGCGTTTCGGTTCACAGCTCTTCAGCTTATCGCACGCAGTTTTTTTATCTCTACCCGTGCGGGTTTCTCGAGGGACGCGAGATTAATTCTCTTGGCGCCGCGGAAATTTTACCGGTTCTTTTCTTGTCGACGGCAAGCCCGGAACGTGCCGTTAGACTTTTTATCGCCATGGAATTCAACGGTGTCTACTGGACGGAACAAATACATTGTGCAGAGAACATTCCTTCGATACACTCTCCCTTGCATCTGGAGTCCCCCCCCAGCGACTACCCCGACTTTTCCTCGAATACTGCTGGGCTCGGTGCAAACTTGCTCTTCCGCCGCAATGTGGGGCCCCAGATGATAAATCCCAATGGAATCGGGATCATGATAGCCGCCAGACAGCCCAACAGTGTCCCAGCCCACTGAACCCCCAGGTTGGTAAACATCTGCCGTGCAAAGAGCGGAAAACACGCCCCGACGGCGGACCGGAGGATGGTGTTGGCGGCGAAGACCGAAGCGGCACTGTCCTATCAGCCTTGCTTCCAGGGCGTTATCGCGGTTAGATAAAGAGGGGGTGCCTACAATTGCAGATACGAGTCGATTAGATAGTTGAAGCACTGCAGGAAGATGCAATAGATACCAAATCCCACGAGAACCCCGGATGCCGTGGGGGCCATCCAGTGGATGTTCTTCGTCCAGCCGGTCCAACCGAACCTACTACTGTCAAAACCATGAGAAAATCAACAGCAGAGTAGATGCGTACCAAAAGAGGCCTACTGTGAAGGCGATTCCGCCCACAATCACGGGAGGTAATCGCCATTCCGGCACGGGGATGTCGTTATTGGCTACTAATTTCTTCGTATATGCCGGCTGACTGAGGAGGGTGTATGCACCCCCCGCAAACTCGCCAATGATTAACGCGATGAACGGCAGGCTTCCAACTCCGAAGTTCATCCCATGGATCTTCTGGAATACGATGGGATATGCCCCTAGCAACGCATACATCAATCCGTAGATGAACGACATGTACAACGTCACCAACAACACAATAGGATCGGTGAACAACATGCGGAAGGGCCGGCTGAAGTTCACGGTGATCAACTGGTTGAAATCAACCTCGACCTCATCTTGTTTCGCATGAATACCCCAGTTGTGAGTTTGGCGTCGCAGTATAGACGCTTTTCCCACCAACACCATGGGCGCATAGGTTTCTCGAAAGAAGCAGAGCAACAATGCCGATCCGAAGAAACCCATAATGGCCGCGAGGTACATGGTCCATCGCCAGTGGAGATAACTCATGGTGATAAACCCCCCGGTGAATGGGGATGCGAATGGCCCAACGAACACCGCCATGGCGAACATGGCGATGGCCACGCCGCGATGCCGATTATTGTACATATCGGCGAATACTGCTGGGACTAGGGCCAGCGGACTAGCGGCGAAGAACCCAGCGAAGAACCGGGTCAACATGATGGTCTGAACATCTTTCGCGGTCGCGGTCCCAATGGTGAAGATGCTCGCCCCAAAGGCACCCGCAGTAAGGGGCCATCGTCGGCTGCTCAGCTCCGAGGCCGGGGCCCAAAAGGTAGGACCGGACGCGAAGCCTAAAACATACAGGGTCACGCCTAATATCATGACTTCCGTACTCACGTGGAACTCCTCACTGGTCGCGGCGAGTGTAGAAGAGAAGATCGCACTTGCGAACGAGGACACGAAAGTGACATACGCGAGGATGCACGACAAATAAACCCTATCCAGTCAGTTCCGAAGATTGCCTCGAGCAAGTGCTCGTCGCATTTGCCTACTTGGTGCTCATCCGCCAGTTATGCGGATCCATGGGGTCATCTCCTGTGAATTCTACGACATATTTCTCGGGGTCAGGCAGCAGGGGAGGATAATCTCTTCCGCCGCCAAATGGTAGCCATTGATCTCTGGGGGCTGGGCCAGCTGTCGATCCGACGGTCGACTGGTGCGTCAGACGAATCGACTCGATTCGTGAGAGCTCGACATTGGTGGAGCGTCGGCTCAGCGTTGGTCTCACGGATGCGAACCCCGGGCTATGCTCTGGATGGGCGGTGGGAATCTCCGACAGACCACTACTTGAACTGCTGAAGAAAGACATCTTTGAGTCGATCGGCTCTACTTTACAGGACTCTGTGGTGTACAAGTTCTTTTGTGCACAAGGGCAGCCGTGAGAGTAATGACGTTCGTCAATCGATATTGATCCATGGGTTCGATAACCTTCCGAGTTAAACACCATCGCCAACCACGCAGCTCCAGATGGGACGATGCCATCAATATTACTCCGTACCTGAAGTTACTGCAGAGAATATACGACTCATGACACCTTCGCTGCCGCTGCATAGCAATATCGCCGTGTCGACCGCAAAGAACATTACTAAACATCTCCAGCATCGACGGGAGACCCCGCATCCTGCATGGTGGGGTCAACTTGATGTCCTCCGTAACCTGCGAGGAATGGCGAGCCATAATCATCGACTGTTGGCTATTCACTACAATTAAGTGCTATCAACCATGCTTTGTAGAACTGTGAACACGAATCGCAGGATCGTGAAATGGTTGGTGTCAGGTGAACCCCAGGTTGCAACCCTGATTCGAAGCGTCGCCTGCCCTAATTTATATCAAATAAGCACTAGATGTTTTAGCCCCCAACAACAGAATTCCAAATTCTTTAACAAGGCCAAAGAAAGCATAAATAGCACCATGGTTTCGTTTAAGATAAACAATACATCACCATCTATCCTCGTATTCAACCAATCTTCAAATATCTCATTCCATCATTAACAACCATGGCTCAAGTCGATGGCACGTGCGACCCGGCGTTTTCAGCCGTGCGTGATATTTTGCAGCAGAACATTTCTTCTGACAAGGAGCTTGGCGCCTCCATCTGCGTTAGCGTCAAGGGGAAGACTGTCGTGGATATATGGGGCGGCTACGCAGACATAGCACGTTCAAAGCCATGGAGCGAGAATACGATTGTTTCGGTCTGGTCCATGACCAAGACGGTCATGAATCTGGCGATGTTGCTTCTGATCGATCGCGGCATGGTGGATCCGGATGCCCCAGTTATTAACTACTGGCCCGAGTTCGGTGTCAACGGCAAAGAGGGCGTATTGGTTCGACACTTTATGAGCCACACTGCTGGCCTGCCATCCTTCGATCCCCCGATCGACGAGGCCACCCTGTTTAACGTGCCTCAGGCGACTGAAAACCTGGTTCAACAGAAACCCTGGTGGACACCGGGCACGGCACACGGGTATCACCTTACCTCCCAGGGACATCTCATTGGGGAGTTAGTCCATCGCGTCACGGGGAAAACGCTGGGCGACTTTATTCACGATGAGCTTGCTGTTCCCCGTAATGCCGACTTCCACCTCCCAGTGGCGGAAGAAGAATGGGATCGGATCGCAGAAATGGTTCCTGGAACGAAGGCCATGGACCTTTCCATGCTCGATCCGAACAGTATCACGTATCGCGCTATGACTGGTAATCCTGCTAATCAAAACGCTCCCAAAGAGCCTGCCTTCCGTCGCAGTGGTATTGGGTCCATGGCTGGCTTTACCAACGCACGCGGGGCTAACGACATTCTATCCATCATCACGCAGAATGGCACCGTGGACGGGAAACGCTTCTTGAGCCCTGAGACGATCGCAAAGATCTTCGAGGTGCAGGCCAGTGGCCAGGACCTGGTTATTGGATTAAATATTGAATGGGGACTTGGTTTCGGCATCGGCGCGCAAGGTACCATAAACTGGCTGCCATCTGGCAAAGTGGCCTTCTGGGGAGGATGGGGAGGGTCGTTTGCGCTTATGGATCTCGATCGTCAAATGACTTTCACTTATGCGATGAATAAGATGGGCATGAGTATTCTTGGAAATGAGCGAACGGGTGATTATGTACGGGCTGCTTATGCGGCGTTGGACGGGTATAACGCGTGATAGTTGACTATATTGCCATCGATGTAGCGTTCTTGGGGTAGGTCTAATTGCATTTTGGAATATCTCAGGCTACCGGTGGGGTGAGCTGGTCTACTCGATGTCGGACTTTGTAGGCTGCGGAGCACTCTACTATCGTGTTCGGCACAAGGAGATGTACCGTTCGTCCTGCTATTTTATGATTACTATAACCCTGAATGTATGTAGACTGTGCTGGTTCGGGGTCATATGTAAGTCCCGAAACCTCGGTATCAACCCCAGAAGCACTCCACATGTACCGATGCGAGCCCTACTCCAATGATCGACGGTTAGTCCTCCGCATCCTTCGCAACAGCTACCCGACTAGGAAATAGATCGCCTACCCATCTCGCATTCACATTCTCGATCATTGTGTAGATGAAACATCCATCGGAGGCATAAATACCCCAGGAATCTGCCCGTTGAAGATCCCCGTTTCAATTCCTTCCAATTCTTTCACGCACGATCCATCGCCAACCGGAGAGCGCAAACATGGCCGTCGCGAAAGTCCTCCTCCCCTCACTAAGCCTCTTTGCCTTGTACGCCATCTTCTACTATGCAGACATAAACGGCCTCCGCGCACTAGGCGAGCAATGTGTCGCATCCAAAACCCTCCCAGGAACCAATGAGCCCCTCCGCACAATATACACCGGCATCGAGCCAATCGACCACCTCCTGACCACCCTAACGGCCTTCTTCTGGCCAACAACAGATGGCAGCAACCCAACGCTGTTCCTCCACTCAGTCGCCTTCTCTGGTACATTTGGCTCAGCCTGGGTGCTCATCACTCTTGAGGCATGGCGACAGGGCAACGCATGGACAATCGCAGCATTGTAACTCCCCCCCCACCTTGCACTCAACGAAGTCCAAAGCTAACAGTTTCAAAACCAAAAGCCCCATGATCTTCGGCCTAGCAGCCCAAGTGCTCACCTTCGCCTTCGCAGCGCCGCTCTACTGCTTCTTCCACCTGGCCACCTCGCAAACAGCCAAGAACCCCACCCCGGACAGCCTCCGCATCCCGCGGTTCATCACCAACGCCCTGCCCCTCGTCTTCATCGTGGGCTACATGGTCCCCACGCAGCTCCTGGTCCTCCCAATCTCAGAGCACATCACAACCGACCTGAAACAGATCTTCATCGCCATCTGGCAACCCTGGCCCGCCTACATCTCCATCCTCCTCACAGTCATCTACGCCGTCTTCGCCCCCTTCACATCCACACATAGAACCCCAGCCAGCGAGCGCAAGAGCCTCAGTTCCCTGCGATGGGTATACGCCTTCGCATTCGCGAACGCAGCGCTCACGCACCTCATCTCCTGGACTATCTCCCTGAGCTCGGTTTTCGTGCCTGGTATCTTTAGCGGGGAGTTTGTGGACGCCCTGCACCCCGGAAAGGTGTTTGAGGTGCCGATTCCGTGGGAGGAGCCTGTCCGCACTGTGGGGAGTGTCGGGGAGGGTGTGCATGCGTTCCTGAGATGGGATTATATTATTGGGTCGCTTGGGATGCTGATCTGGGCGGGCAGTTTGTATGCCGCTGCGCAGAAGGGTGTGTATGGGCGGGTTGGTTGCTTGGGGCTGTTTGCGAAGGCGGGCTTGCTGAGTGCGTTTGTGGGGCCTGTGGGCGCTGCTGTTGAGTTGATGTGGGAGAGGGAGGAGTTGGTGCTTGCCAGGAGGGGGGTGACGGAGAGCCGGAAGAAGGATTCTTAGGTATGTATGTGGTAGTATTTATTATTCTTGGATTAAGTATGGTACTGTGGAAGGAAGATACTGGCGTTTATTCTATGTGCGTACTTTGTACATACTTATAGTTTTGTTGATAGGTTCAGGTCGAACTGAACAGGAACTGAAACCACCTTGTCCCGGATATAATCCGCAAATCCCTTCCCATAGCCGTCTAGCCGGCTGGAGCTACTGACTCCGCGGCCCAGAATACCGTAGATGACGAAATGCACCGCGTGGATCTGTGGGAACTCCACCCTCTCGATCGAGAACGAGTCATCCCAATCATCGCCGAGGAGGTCCCGCATCCGCGAGATGGTCATGGATGACCGGAGCCACTCCCAATGAGCCGGGTTGGAGACGAAGATGCCAAAGTTGAGGTTTGCGCCTTTGTCGCCGGACCGAGCCAGTGCAATGTCGCCGAGACGAATGTCCTTCGTAGGACCGTTGTATATGGTTGGTGTTACTGGATCGTAGCTCTCGCGCGGCTTCAGGGGTTCGTATTGGCTTGGGCGTGGGATGTCGAAAGATGCGGTTTTGGATTGGCCGTTGAGAATGTTGATCTTTTCGTTGATGTCGGACTGGTTGATTATGGCGGGATAGTATGCGAGGAATGGGCGTGGGACGGCGGTGCGCGCGTCGGGGGATGCGTGGAACCCTGACTGTTTATTAGTGGCGTTGCTTCTGTATTTGATGGGATATGAGATATATACCGGAGAAGTGTTTCAGTGAGATATGGCGCATTGCCTTTGCGACGGTTGTTACCGCTTGTGCTGTGCGGGCTGCGATGAAGATGCGCATATATGTGGTGCTCTTTAGCTGAGAGGACGGATTTGGGTCGGGAACTCCGATTCTAGTACTCAATCAGGCACTTGTTCTTGCAGAGGTATGTTTGATCGGGGATTGTGGCTTCAAGTGTGCTTACCTTTGGAATTCGAGTGTTTCCAGGTCATTTGCGGCACTTTCAGGGAGGAAATGACGGAGTTGCTTCTCGAGGAGGTCCCACTTCCGAGCAGTAGCATATCCGGTTGCATTATAAAGTAGTTGGGCCTCATAACCTCCAGGATAGAAAACTGCGAGTTTGGTAGTGGGAGGCGGTGGTGACCCTCTGATACCAGATACACGGACTCTGTCTATCGTTAGAGCTTGTGTAAAACGGGGTGTTGTTAACCAATACCTGTCCTTGCCAGCATCCTCAACAATAACATCACCAATATGAGCACTAACATCACTATTTAGGTAGACGTTACCCTGCAACTCATACAGGAATTGGCATTTTACTGTGTCAGTGTTCACCACACCTTGGGTTCCCGGGTGTTTGGTGATGACGCAGGTACCGTCTCTCTCGATCTCGGCAATAGGAAATCCAGGAGCAATGAGATCTTCGACCGGATATTTATCAAAGCCAGCAAAGTTTGCCCCGGTGACGTATGCCGAACATTCAATTAGATGGCCTGTAATGAGTGCTCCAGCAAGTCTATCGTAGTCCGTTTCGCTCCAGTCGTACCAGAACCAGGCCGCTGCTATCACGGGACTGGCGTCAGCAACACGGCCGCAAATGATAATCTGTGCGCCTCGCCTCAGGCCTTCGACGATACCACGGGCCCCAAGGTATGCATGGGCCGATGTCATGGGAATCGGGCTTCCATCGGTTGTATTCATAAACGCATATGTCAACCTCGATGGGACAATGGAGGAGTTTCCAGAATCCAAATGCTGCAGTTCATCTTTGTTGGTTGGCATATTAGGCCCGACTTGAGGGTATAGGTCATCCCCTGATACATAAGCCACACATATGTCAAGCTTTTTCTCAGCTGTCTGCAGCGAGCAATTTAGTTGGGTCTCGTGCTTGGTGATCGCAGTGACCACTTACTAGAGCTTCGACTTTCAACGCAAGTGCTCTAGGATCTAAAGCACCCCCGTTGATTACAACACGGATACCCTTTTCCGCAACCACGTCGATTGTTTGCTGTAGTCCCTGCCAGGCCGTTTCCTCGTAGCCCGGATGTTTGCCTGCACGCCAGGCCTCGGCATTGTTGGCTAAGTTGACTTCTGTTCGCACATTAGTCTGTGGCAATGCTCTCTGATGGATATTGAGAAGCGTACCGGCAAGGTAGTCACCAGTGATGAAGTCGACGTCGCCCAATGTCGCCTGGCGGTACATCTCATACGCTGGGTCGCCTAGTTATTCAAGCAGTCAGCGTCTAGAAGCTTAACTAAGAGTCGATGAACAGACCATGGTAGCCAGAGCAGTTGGCCACTTTCACAGGTCTATTTTCAGGATCACGCAGCATCTTTCAGTGAATGTAGCTATCTGTGCGGTATGAGCAATATGACTTGGTGTTCTAGCTGTTGTGAGTAATGGATCGTCCGGCTGTGGGCTTGCTCGGGCATCGTGCTATATATTCCATCACTACTTGGGCGACTTCCCAGGATCCCCCGGATTTAAGCGGCTTCATTCGACTAATGGAAGCTTATTATGAAGCATTTCCCCGCATTGATTATCCACCGCTGATCATGCTCTATGCTTGGTTGAAGTTATGATTCTCGGCAAACATGTGCCACGGGCCACGGGGTTCTTGCACCGGCGCCGCGGAGGCGCGGAGTTCCACATCTATAGTGTCAAACTGATCGTCACAAATATTTTGCTTCGGAGGGTCCAGGAAACTTCCTTGACTAATAGAACGGATGTTGCAGACAACGAGCGCACGGTTACTCGGCTTACTGTGACAGATGTTCCGGCAGGCTGCGTCACCACGTCCAGTGTCATACCCAATGCAAGAATTATTCCGTGGATCAATAGTGGAGCCCCCCCCTCGGCACCGAGGGTGTTGTTTCCAAAAGGTTATCTAGGCAATTTAGTGTGCTAGTGGATGATATAAAGTGAGAAACGCGTGCCCTTGGAAGGTAGCCACCTGTGACTATTATCCATTGTACAGTTTACTTGTTGCGTGCATCCCAACCACATATCCACTATGGCCTTTTCTCACGAGACCACCCCAGGAACAGATGTATACGGCCCTGGGACCTTCATCGATAAGAATGTTCTCCCCGTCCCCGAGGACACTCGCCGAGTATTCGAGTTTATAGCCTCGAAGACGCCTGGATTTACCCAAAACAAAGAAGTATGGGATACCGTCCATTTCGAGGGACAGCCGGACCCCATGATCCCTGGTCCTATCAAAGCACCTATTGTTGCTGCTGCTCTACATGCAATGTGTGGTGTGGTAGGGAACGAATTATTGGAACTTCGCGATAGTACACCAGTGGCCGAGAGCAGTGTTACCGTCAACACTGACCAGGCAGGAATATGGCTTGGTTCGGTGGCGACCACGCATATCAATGGATCTGACATCTCGGCTATAGCGCGGTCGGGGAAGTTGAGCACCCTCTTTGACCGTGACTTTCAACAAGGCTTCGGCGAAGGTCTCGCAAGCAGGACAACAGCGATCTACCAAACCAAGGACCCGAACGTATGGTATCAACTTCATGGCTCTCTCAATGCTAACCGAGTTCTGGAAACAATGGGAATCGACACAAACGTCGCCTTCAATACACCGAACGAGTGTTACGACTACATCCAAAAACATGTCCGTCAGTGGAGTCCGGATGAGCTTGAGATGCACAACGTACGCCATGGCCTTTGTGGAAGCATATGCTATAAGCCGGAATCATGGCGAAACACGGAAATGGGAAAGAAGCTCGCCAGGCATCCATATGTGAACTATACACACGAAACGTATGCAGCTCCTACACCCCAGCAGCCCTTACCCAAGGTTCCTGGCGACCAGAGACCACTGGCTGGGATCAAGGTGCTGGAGATGGTACGCATTATCGCGGGCCCAACTATCGGTGTGACTCTTGCCTCCTTTGGTGCGGACGTCATCCGAGTCAACTGTAGTAAACTGCCTGATCTGAATGTAAGTTGCCTTATTCCCTTAAATGGATAAACCAGAATGCTTACTTATATGATGACAGCTCTTGCAACTTGTCCTGAATGCAGGAAAGCGTACCATCGACCTGGACATTACTAAGCCTGAGGACATGACCCGTCTTCGAGAGCTTATCGCAGATGTGGACGTGTTCATTCAGGGATTCCGGTATGGGTCTTTGGACAGAAAGGGCCTTGGACTCCGGGATATGCTAGAATTAGCTGCGAACAGAGGAAAGGGTATTGTCTATGTGGATGAGAACTGCTATGGTCCGGACGGCCCCTTTGCTGAGCGCCCAGGCTGGCAGCAAATTGGCGATGCTGCCTCCGGTTCTTCCTATGTTATGGGTAGGTCGTTGGGATATGCGGACGAGAAATGCGTTTTGCCTCCACTGCCAGTGTCAGACATGACTACGGGTGTAGTGGGTGCTCTTGCAGCCATGATGGCTATTCGTGACCGGGCAGTCAAAGGAGGCTCTTATCACGTTGTTAGCTCTTTGGTTGCCGCAGACAACATAGCACTGGAAGAGGAAGTCGGACTGTACCCACTAGACGTGGTTCACAACACGGCCGAGAAGTTTGGGTTTGTGCCCTCAACTCCCGACCAGTTTGTTACTGAAATTCTGTTGCAAGTCATCGCTGGTTGGAAAAAGGGCCGGCCTGGGTACCTGGATGAGGATTCACCATTGATGACCACATTTGATCAAGGGCCGTGGGGACGACAAACCTTGCTCAAGCCAATTGTCAGACTTGGTGAAGACGCAGTAACCCCCCGGTGGACCAGTCCCTCTGTACCCAATTGCTACCATGACAGAAACATCAGCTGGCATTAGAAAGCGGCCCCGAAGTTGCAAGGAATGACGACTATTGTTGTATTGAATTAGACCATTAGATTCATGTTATATTATTTACATCGCTACCAAGATATAGTTGGGGGACTGTCATCGTTTGTATAAGGTAAATCGCTCATCCTTTATGCCCGCATCCCGAGAGTCGAGGGTCTGCGTAGGCGTGGATAGACCGTTTCCGAGAATCATGCTGAAGACACCTACAATAATCGTCCATTGTCTATTCCACCATCGGATGTGCTAGATACCATGTCATCCCAGTTCCAGAAAGGGGCAATAGGCCATTGAAAATTCATGGCCAAGTCAAAGGTTGGATCCACCGAGGGCATATCATAGTTTTGTAAAATAGTACTACTTCCGGTCGGATCCGCATCCCCGGATGAAGGTGCAACTAAACCTGGACTAGCCAGTCCAGAAAGTCCATTTACCGGATCGCCGGTCTTGTTTCTAGAAGCCTGAGTGTTGCTGATATTCCCCATCGATCGCTGGGAGATGTTTTGCTCGGCTCGACTCATGGCCTGCTTGGCTGCACTTTTTAGATCGGTACACACCTCGAGGATGTGATCAACATATGTGCCTGGCTCTTCAGATGATAATTTAGAAAGCAAGTTTATGGTTTCCTGAGTCATGGCAAGATCAGCCACGGAATGTTGATGAGAGCTACTCCCCAGCAAGTTCGATAACAAGGTCATTGATGCAGCAGCAGGGAAGTAAATGACACCCCTTTCAAGGTTAGCACAAGACTGGAGTTACCATATATGAGTAGCTCAGATACACATACCATATGAAGCAGGACCCAAATACACTACCATGTTTTATGAGTTGAACTGCAGACCTCGCACATTCCAAAGACCTCACAAGCATATCATCTACTTCCTTACCCAAAGCTGCGAAATCTTCCAAGTCCTTTGCAGCTCGAGCCATTGATCGTCGCGCATGAATACAGAGTTGGTAAAGCTTGGCATAGCAGCAATGATAGGCGAGGTCTAATCTGAGGACATGCTGAAGATGATAATCAGATGTATTCGAGAACGCCATTTCTGGATCGTAATGCTTTTCAAAAGAGGTCCGCCATTCGAGAAGATCATGCTCACTAGTGTTTAAGTCTCGGATAAGATCTCGGGCGGTCTTCGTCTTGACGTTGGTGATATAAAGACGGTCGTACAGGCGTCGTTGGATCAACGAAAACTGTGCCAACAGGTGGAAGTAGTCAAGGTGGGCACCACAAACATTTACAATTCCTAGTCCGTCTTGAGGCTTGTTGGAAGGTAGTGGGGTGTCGAAATCGTTCACATCCTGCACCGGTGGCCGCCCGGTTCGATGAGAGATTTCCGCATCGAGGATGAATGCAATCCAAAATGTTCTCCGCCGCTCCTCAATCTGCGATTGAGATAGTCCCAATGTCTGATTGCGATGTAGCCCAATAGACTGTGAAAGCCGCATTGCCGCTGCCGCAAACATGAAGAGCGGCTGAGGATTTGGTGTATTTTGGAAGAGAAGTGCGAGTCCCAACATTGCTTGGACAGCAAGTAAGTCCGCAGCACGCATGAAAAATTCTACAATCACGTTTAGAGCATTCCTGATGTGTCCCATTGACTTCTGCCATTCTTCACTTCCATCAGGTAACCTTTGTGCCCTTTCCCTGTAGGCAGATGCAAGCACAACATTCAGGGATGCCCACCACGAGGGACTTTCATCGGGACTCCAACCGAACTGTTTATCCACTAATCTCGTAAACGTAGATTCATCGAACAGCGGGATTGCTCTATTGAAGCTACCAAAGTACTCGCTTACGAGCTGTAGTGTGATTGGTCTGGGAGGCAATTGCTGGAAAGCACGCTGCCCAGGATCGCCCTGCAGAATGCGAGGATACCAACTGGACAATTGCCACCTAGGGGCTGTTTTTTGACTAGTGGCCATCCACGCTCCAGATCGTTTTTCGCCTTCTAGCCCATTTAGGGTTTGGGGTGAAGTCATTGAGAACCCAGAAGATGCTCCTTAGATGAGGTCAACCCAAATTCACGTTAACGCATGGGGTTATGCTTACCGAAAAATCGCATCTTTGTTCCCTCGGCGTTGATGACGTAGGGAGCCTGGATAGCTTCACTGTCCGTACTTGGCTGAGCATTATCTTCCCCTAGCGGGGACCTAGAAGGTGATGTGAGATAGGACTGACTCTCGATAGCGTTGGGTTCAAAATTAGCGCTGGTGCTGGTGCCAGCGGCTGCCGAAGATTGGACAGGAGAGTTCCTCTTGTTTTCTGATAAGGATTCTTGCCTCGACGCATCTAGAGTTCGGTCTTGTAACCGCATTTCCATGTCCTGAACGCGTTTCTCTAGCTCCTCAACATATGCTCTGATAGGAATTGGATCAGAAGACATTGAGCTTAAAGTAGCTTTCGAACTCACCGGCTAGTTCGACTGGATTGCCTCAAAACATCCTGGAAGGCACAGGGCAGATTGAATGCTTTGCATGGTGAACAAATGGGGCGCCTGCCATCACATTTTGTTTTTTT